TGTTCGGTTAACATCAAATCACGTAACAGTTCATTTGCTTTTGAGCCTGGCAGCTGCTGCAAATCAGAAGCCCGCTGCACACCAAACGCGAAACTATTTAAGCAAGCCAGTTCTGTGAATTGATTAGGGCATCTGAACACGGTGGGACTTACTTCAGAGTAAACATACCCTGGAACTGGGCAGTAATGACCTGATCCCCTGCCCCTGACCAATATGCCTTGATTTCTTTATTTATTGTTTGTTTCTTTACTGGAGCTAGAATCTGGAATTTCCCCACGCATACACCTATTTCCTGCATCTGCACTTGCAGGCTCATGTTTGAAACTTCTCTCTCTCTACCGAGTATGTGCAATTCCACCTGTGAGCCTATCTGTCTCCCACCCCAAATAAATTTGATGCAGTTTCCCCACCTAAAAAAGGAGGGGTGGGGAGATGTCTTGACACAAGATCTTGAAGCAGCCATATTTTATTTTTGCAATCACAGCAAAAATAGCAGAGGGAATGAACAAGCACTTGAGGGGCCCCCTTTTTATGCGCTAAGTAGCAGCCTGAGTCCCACCGCCCTTGCTTTGGGGATTTATATCCTGCCATATAATCCACAGAGCCTGCTGGGGGACTCCCTTGCCGCCGAGTCCTGCTGCTACCAATGGCTGCAGCCTATGACACTCTTTTGCCCCTTGGTTGACAACTAGGACAGATTTTGGCCCAAGGGTGCCAGTTGCTGACACATAATCCAAAGCCATACTAGAAGAAGCAAAACAAAAACGAAAAACAAACCCCCAACTATGCCTACACTGCAAAAGAATGATATACGTTTTTTACATCCATGAAGTTTGATGATTCATTCACATGTGCTATTTTATAAAAAAATAGATTTTGCACATTTTTTAATTTGGCACATCTGTGAGCTTAAGGGGTATATGTCAAGCAAAGAAGTACAATCATATTCACTTGGATGCCTACTCTGAATGTCAGCATTTAAAAACACACACACACGTACACACACACACACACACACACAACCCCATCACATTTGAGTATATAAAGCTATGCACCAGATCATGACCACATAAAATGTCTACTCTGAATCAAACATCATCACCTTGAAACATTTTGTTAACATTCAAGTTTGCCATTCTATTTCTAAGGAAAAAACACAAACTGGTTTTCAAAACAGCAGGTCCCAACCTTGGATACCACATGTAGGTCTGAAATCACGTGAAATCAAGTTTACGCTCCTGTTAATGGATTCACTTTATATATATTTCACAGAAGGGAGAGAGAGAGAGAGAGACAGAGAGAGCGAAACCAACAGTCTTATTGATTTAAAATCTAATTGCCTCTCACTGAGATGACTATTCAGTTCGAACAATAAAAAAGTCTACAAGAAAAGGCACTAATGCTTCTGCAATTGGAACACCAGCCTCCCTGTTAAGAAGAAAAGCCACGACTGCTCTGAAGAAAACGTTTAAGCTCTTACAGTTACATACAAAGTCTGTTTATGTCTCTACCTCTAAAGGTGAAGACAGATGTTATATCTGAAGAGCCGTGGGGCCAGAGGGCTCAGTCCTTCCCCAGCTGACTTCCCTGCATCCACGTCCTGCTGGGCTTTTCTCTGCAACATGCAAACAAGTGCCTGGAACAACAGCAAAGGGTAAAAGAAAGAAAGAAAGGGGCAGAAGTTCCCCTGGCAGAAGTTGCTCCTTCCCCCTCCCACAATCACCAGGGAGATGTTTGGTGGAGACCTGTCAGCACCTCGCTGCACTTCAAATCCAGTCAGGGTTAAGCGCCTTAAAAGTCCCAGGGAGTCTCCAATGGAGCCCTCAAACTCTTCCACCGAAATCAACCTTTGGACTTCCAGCTTCTGCAATGGCGTCATGCCAAACACAGCCCATAAAGGTAAGTTGCAGGCAGCGTTTGCACAACCCATCCCCATTGCAGACCGCAGATGGCTGAATGATCTTGTTAAATCCAACGCCATCCTTCAAAAAGCTTAACTTTAGCTGGATTTTGATTTGGCTTTTTAAAACACACACACACACACACACACACACACCGCTCCCGGTTTCTCACATGCACAGACAGAGCAGTGAGCTACCATTCATCCTCGGCAGCAATGCGTCGCTCATTCAGTAACTTGTCATCGATGTAGTCATTTCCTTCCAAGGACATACAGACACACTACTGACTCCAACAGGTTTCAACGGTTTCCTGGGAAGCTGAACTGGTTTGGGAAGTGTGTGTTTGGGGGTGTCTTTTAAGAGAAAGCCCTCAGCACTATTCCCAAACTGCAATTCCCAGACTTCTTTAGGAGGAGCAACACATGCAGCCAATACGAATCTGTAGTGTCAATATCGTCTGGGAGAGTTTCCATGTCAAAACAGCCCTGGCAATTCCAAGCGCAGAAGGTTACGTCTCTTCAAAGCAACAAACAATTTTTTCAGCAGCCAAGGGGTGTGTGTGTCGCAGGACAATCACACAACATCACAGCCGTTAAGAGAGAGAAGGATCAAGTAAATTTTTTTAAAAAATTAAAATAAACCCAACAAAATAACCACATCCAAACTTTAGTTCCTCTACCCCCCCTTTTTTTACTTTCCAAAATTGCTCTCATGAAAGAAACCACTGCAGAAGTCTTCAATGTACAAGCTTATTCTATATTGCTTTCTACAGCCTACTGGAATGAAGGTCCATCTCATTTATTTCCAATGTGTATAAAAGCAGGTAAAAATAAATATTCAGGGGGACACAAAAATCTGACATCAATATCAATTCAGCAGAAGTTAGTCACAACTGAGTCTTGTAAAAATCAAAAGAGAGGAAAAGACTGGGGCTTAAATCGTTTTATAGACTACCCAAAAGGCTTGAGGGCAGGTTAAGGTTCCTTTCCTGGATCCCAGATACTGACAGTGGGACACAAAGGGTGGTCTCCAAGCCCCGCTGGGCCTAAGCAGTGTTGATTTCAAGGGGACTCAGTTGAGCCTAGCTTTTCCTGAAGCAAGCCAGTCACGTGAAAGTCTCTATCATGTCTTGTCTTTCTGGCCTCTCTTTAGGCACTTCACTGGATCATTAATGCAAGAAGGTAAAGCTCTAAAAACCAAGACATTTGTGCCCTGAAGGGAAAAAGTAATCAGTGTAGTCAAGCAATGCAAGGGCAGGACTCTCTTGGCTGCTCACTTCTCTTTCCCAACAATGACATCTGCCCATGGGCACAAGCCAATCGGCCCGGCACTGCTCTGGCACCTCCTCCATTCACTTCTATGGAGCTTGCATGGGGTCTTCCCCGCTAAAAGGAAGGTGTAAAAGGGCTTGGGGACATCCGATTAAACCAACGCTTTGGTGCTCGAGTAGGAGCCGATTGTTCGCAGCAAACACTACCAAAGTTTGGGAAGGAGAAGCCATTTTTCACCGCGGCCATGTTGAGTGGGACATTTCAGCAGCGACTTCATAAAGGAAAGGCTCGCTCTTCTGCTATATATTGCACTTCCTTTGTTCACTCATGTCAACGTAGAGAAACATGATTCTTAGCTTGAAAATATTGCAGAGCGTTCTGAAAAATATTTGACGGGAATCGATTTCCCCAAAGCTTAAGCTGAACACTGATATAATTACCCTTGAATTAAGAAGTGGGGTGGGGGGGATGACAGTGGAGCAAAACGAGACTGGAACTCAGGGGCAAAGCACATTCTTTGTTTGTAGAAGGGTCCCAGGTGCGGTCTCCAACACTTTGAGTTAAAGGTTAGGGACGATCGTGACCCAAGACCTCAAGGAATCACTGCTGGTCAGAACAGACAAGTCTGACTCAGTAAAAGACAGCAAAGCTTTCAGGGGAGGGGGAAATCTAGCTAAGCGACTGATACATGCTCTGCATGCGAAAGGTCCTGGGCTCAATCCCTGCCATCTCCAGTTAAAACCATCTCAGGTAAGAGGGCTGGGAAAGACTTCTTCCCTCAACTTTGGAGGACCAGAACAGACAGGCCAGTGGCCTGATTCAGCACAAGGCAGCTCTTTACAGTTTTAAGAGAATGTGCTCTTGCAGATTGCTTTTTGGTTTCTCTGATCAGACAGCATGTGCGTGTGTGTGTGTGCTGGATTTGCACGCATCACATTACCACCAATCAATGAACCAGTTAAGGACGAACCTGGATTTCAAAACTTTTTAAAAAACTCTTAAAGTCAAACTTCTACAAGTTCAGATATCCCAAGTTAAACTGGCTTGCTGGCTGGGCAGTAAGTACCATTCAAGCATCATTAGGGTCAGCAGAAAGAGCAATTGTAGGCAACACAGAAGAATGCAATCCCTGAACTGATTATGTACAGTTGAAATGGATATGGTAGAAAACCCTCTTCGTTCAGAAAAAAAAGCATTTGAATGCTGTGTCTCAGTAGCACGCTGCAGGATTTGCAGCAGTTCTTTTCACATTTAAAAAAAAAAAAGGCAGACAATAGTTGCATCAGCTTTCACACAGCCTCCAAACTACTGCCAAAGTACTAAAACTCTAAGAAAACTCTAAGAATAAGCCAGTTGAGCACTTCAGTTTAAACACAGCACATACTGGATTCAGGAAAGCTGCATTAATATTCTAGAAAGAACTAAAAGGAGAAAATAAAATAAAATCCTTCGCTCTGGATTCCATTTGCAGGAAAAAGTGGGTAGGAACAGAACCTCGGAAGATGCACCAACAAGTGTTTTTCTTCCGAGTGTGAGAAGAAATAGCAAAAGAATCAAATATAACAAACCGTTTTAGGGTTTGTGACCAATACTCCAACTGGAAACAACTTAAGAAGTAGTGTTCCTCAGTGCTATTTTTGCTATCGTTAGTAATGTTAAGCATCAAGAAAACAGGGGGGGAAATATATAGATCATTGCACGTTAACCACCGCTAGGAAGGCGGCTTCAGCTTTTGACACTAGAGAATCCAATAACCTGATGCTACACCACAGGCAGGTGTTTCTGCACATCTGTTTGGAAGCTTTCTTCACACGCTTGCAACGGCGGTTCAGGTCAAGTGGCGCGTAATGGCACGAAGGGCGTAAAGGAGTTCCGCCTGCATGCGCGCTTCCATTAGGAGAAGGTTCACGTGGACCTGCAGGAAAGATTCAAACAAAAGATGATGATGGCATCTTTTAAAAATACATAAATGCCGTAGCTCACCATGAGGTTGACCGAAGGGCATTTATATTTCTTTCAGCTTTATCGTTCCTGAGTTGAGATTGTGATAAACGGGTTTGCCACTCGTCAGACTGCAGCATCCAGCAGTGACTTGCACATGTGAACAAGCCATTGCAGAGATGATCTTTTGTACTACCTTGTCATGTGGGTGTGTGGGTGTGTGTGAGCATTCAACAGAATTCAGTGTGTTCATTTTTCCAGGGTGTTTCATAGTAGTGTGATGTGTGTTTCGCTCTTGGTGGCTGTGCAGTGCAGAACTTCACATTAACGCAATATGAACTTTGGATTAATGGCTATGGAAGCTTCCCTTCTTAACAATGCCATTTCCCCTGTTTACACATAGACACTGGTTCATGCATCCATCAATGAGACACTCACCTTCTCCGAGTGCTTGAACTGGCGCCAGTAGCTATCGTACATGCGCTTGGTAGTTCGCTCTGGGTAGCAGGTCACTGTCTTAATGTAAACCTTCAGGCTCCGTTCAAGTAACTGATTAACTTCTCCATAATCGTAGTCATCATACCTAAGCAAGATTAAGCCGGCCTGAATCTCTCTTTTCTGAGCATGCACATCTTTAAAAAGAACACCTTTCTACTGCACAATTGTTTTTAAAAAGCATATGCTGGGGTAAATCTGCCTGAAGATCAGATGATAAGTCTCCTAAAGCCAGGCTGGTATTATTCAACTAGATTTGCAAAAGGAAGGAGGGCAAGACAGGTGGATGACTTGTACAGCTCTTCCAGTAGCCGGCAGAACCCACGTTTGGAACTGCACAGAGGCCACAAAGAATAATGTGCTTAATTGATTTGAATATAATTTACACCCTTGTAGATTCTTGGGGCCCAATTCACATTGTACATTTGACGGGCTTCAGGTGATGACAACCATGACTCCCATCCTGAACACACACACATTTCTATGGTGGAAATGGATTGCACAGCCCTTTGGCTTCCTGGAAGTCATTTTGAACAGCTAAGGGGAACTCAGAGGATTACTGTTCAATTAATTTCCAAATAACTGGTTAACAGATTTTTATATGCACCCTAGAGAAATCACTCGAGGGTCTTTGATTCCAGAACACATGTTGCACGAGTGTGTCTAAATTTACTGTTCTGCTTGGTTTAAGAATACTTCGCCCACCCCAACATCACCCATGTTGTCCCTGTATTTATGCTGATAAATACTGCAAACACCTTACAGGGTGGAGGGAAGACAAATGATTTTACCCTTTTATCCACTCTTTCTCCCTTCCACTTGAAACATGCTATTGTGAATGCTTAGGCCTGCGCTAAGCAAAATGCAACCACTGGTCCAATCCTAGCCCCCAACTTCATTCCTATAACCAAGGACATGCAAGCCTCTTTAATATAAGCCATAGCTGCATTCTGAACCTGAAGCAGCACCCCAATCACAGAATACCTCCAGAAGTGCACTTATTTAGCCAGATCAGTTGGTGACATACCTGATTCCAAACATACAGTGAACATAATTAAATAAAGCTCTTCTTAACATGGTTGTGTCAACATCTTCATGCGTGGCCATAGTGTTGTACGTGAGGCTATAGACCATTCGGAACTTCTCATCCAGGAGATGCCCAATGTCGGAATAAAGCCTGTTCACAAGGGAGAATCCATGGTTTTCCCAGGTATAGTCCTGCAGAAAAGCACGAAGACTACCAATTTGTACATGGCATGTTTGAACAGTACTGCAGAATGGTTTTGAAGACACACGATGCCGTTCTACTGCTGAAGGAAAACAGGGGAGGTCACAATTTGTTGTGTGCCCTTGTGTGAAATGCATTGGGCAAGGGGGTCCCAATTTAGTCTGATTATGCACCTGTATCCAAATGCATACCTCTGATCGGAGGTGAAGCATTATCAAGAGAAGAAACCAAATTAAGTAGGAACTGTGTATCATCAGAATGTATATAAACTGTAAGTGCAAATTTATACGTAATAATAATTGACACAATGAAGTTATATTAGAATATGAAAACCAATTTATTTCTTTTTAAGAATCAATAACTTTTCAATTCAAATGCAAAACCTTCTCTTTCTTGCTCTGAGATAAGCAAACTTGTTGTGATTTTGGGAATACCCAACTGATGTACTTGTTTATTCTCTACTGAAAGAACAGCGAGTCATGAACGCCTGTCTTGAATCAACTTTATGTTGCACCGACCATTGCGTGGAAGTTTTGAGCAGCTTAATTTTGGAAAATGACTTTTCAGCTGTGGTAACTGACAGGAATATTAAGAGTGAACATTAAACCCACGTGGATAATAGGGGTGTGCACTGGCTTTGAGTGTACCTTGAATTACAAATCAAATCAGGGTAATTTGGGGAAAGGCTCTTATGTTTTTCCAAGTCAGATTGCACCGTTAACAAGGCATCGCAAGACAGCCAGGGACTTCTGAAGCTTCCAAGGTGATATTTAGTTAACTGAACTCAATCAGATCATGGGTGGCACCAAACTGGGTGGATATCTGCCTAATTTGGGGTGAATTCTCCACTCCCTCAGCAGCCCCCCATGCCCCATTCCACATTGTTCAGCGAATGTCCCCATGCCCCTGAGGCTTTTGGGGGGACATGCATGGCTGCAGGTGGGAAGAAGTCCCACGAACTTCCTTAAATTCAATTATCTCTAGATCTGAGCCGCTGCGTAGTGAGTGTGCTATCTGGAAACTTTGCATTCTGACCTCATGCAATAAACCACCTGGTTTTTCAGAGGGTTACAAACGTAAGCTACACCATGTTAAACGCACCTGGGCTCGGAAAGTTGGAAGATGCTCCTCACCCCGCCTGGCAAAGTCTTTGTACCCAAAGCCAGGATCTTCAACGTAGCGCGAAACGTCGGCTGTGGAAACTATTTCATCGTCAAATGCTGGCAAAGGAAAATATTGAAGCCAATTAAGTGTACTCTTCTCATTCCTCCTCCACGGTGTAAACCACTTAGAAGTTTCTTTTGTCAATTAAGCAGTATATAAATCTTGTCGTTTAAAAATAAAAAATAAGGTGCTTAATGGGAAGTATTCTCTGGAGTGGCATTCCATTTTATTTCTCCTGGCACTATTTCTACATACGGAAGTAAAGCAATGGCTCTGATTTGGGTTAGCCGCTTGACTTTTTAAAGGTCAGTGCCAGGCAAAACAACAACAACAGAGACCGCTGAAGATTTGTTCCCCACTGAATACACATAATAGAGGCTGAGGGCTGAATCCAATGCTAGTCCTACTCACTCGTTGAAATTAATATGACTAACTTATGTGCATTAATGTCAATAGGTCTACTATGAATAGGACCGGAATTGGATAGTGTGGCTGTCCCTGTTCTGAGCAATAACATTTCTGTAGAACCACGATAGACACCCACTTGCTTCATCTTCTGGAAACAATCAAAGACATTTTTATTCCAATAAGTTTTCCCAGCTAGGTGGCTTCTGCCATGAGTGTCTACTTTGTATTGCTTTTAAACCTATCGTGCTATGTTGTTTTAAACTTTCTCTTTTTTTGGCATTTTCATTGCATTCTGTACATCGTGTTGAGACATCTGAGGAGTGAGATTAATAACTAAACTAACTAACTAACTAACCCTGAGGCAATGCAAAGGAGCCAATAGGAAACAGACTGGAGAGATGTTCAAAGTAATCAAGAATGGAAAAGCCCTCCTGTGGCGCAATGGGTCAGTTCGGCTGGCTATCAACCTGAAGGCTGGTGGTTCTAGCCCACCCGGGGATGGCTGTGGGCAAAATTCCTGAATTGCAGGAGGTTGGACTAGATGACCCTTGGGGTCCCTTCCAACTCAAAAATTCTATTATTCTAAGAGACACTGTTTTAAAATTGCTCTAACAGAGGAGTCAAATATAAGAACCAGGTGATCATAAATATTACACTTAGTTAGTAGGAACACTGTGCAGTATATACATGCAATGGTATGGGAACAAGGCTTGGGGGTCTGGGAACAAGGCTTGGGGGTCTTGAGCTCTCCCACACTGCACACAGAACCTTAGAGTTGAATAGGACCTTATGCACACAATGCCTGGGCAAGGAAGCCCTGCTCCTCGATGAATAGAAAGGACCTCGGAGATCAGGGTTCAAATCCTCACTCAGATATAAAGCTCAATGGGTGACTTTGGGCGAGTCACAGTGTCTAAGTCTAATCTATCTCACAGGGTCGTTGCAAGAATAAATTAGGGAGGGAGGGAGAAATTAATGCAAGCTTGAGCTCCTTGGAGGAAAGCTGGAATATACATTTAATTAATAAAACAGACCTAAGTCCAGAAAAGGGGGTGGATAGGGACCAACTAAACAGAGGCTACTTGAACAGGCATATACACACATAAGCCTCAAATCACAGCAATGGTTGTGTATCGTAGTGGGGTGTTCGCCTAAGCCCTGGGGCTCACTTTTAGAAGGGGAAAAGCCCCTGTAGAAGGACAGAGGTCCTTTCTCATGACGCCAATTCAAGATTGCCAGCCATGCACATGACAAGAGAAGCCACAGCCTGAGCATGTCTGGCAGTAATCATTGTTAGCCCTGTTGAATCAGTAAGGGACAATCATGAACCACCCTGGCCTCATGTACTGTGGGATATCAGATGCACTGAAAAAAGAAATCCAGGCGACTCAACCCTTTAAATTAGAGCCATTTGGCTAGAGCGGAAGGGTTCAGCAAGTTGATTTATGGCTATGTAACCAAGCACCATGGAAGAACTTCAGCAACACCAGTACTAAGGAAGGCCAATTGCTCCCATCCAGAGATGTTCTCCACCTCGTTGCCTCCTGTCTGCCAAGCGGCTTCAGCACATTAATCACACTTCCGGAGAGCTGACTGCTGCAAAGTTACTGCAGTTGACCTTGATGGTCCAGCTTGGCTCACTTTCAGGAGCCCTAATGAGCCTGGGTGGGGAAAGCGCCCTGTGTCTACCGCTAGAAAAATCACTACGGGGGGGGGGGGGGAGAGGGAATCAGTTGATCCAAGAATCACAAGGCTGCCTTTATCCTCCTTCTGGCTCATTAGCCAATCAAAACATAAATCTGTGTGGGAAGAAATCAGCTTGGCAACCATACAAATAGGTCCTCAGTGCAGTTGGGGGGAAAATGAGCTATTGAGCCTAGGCTTATCCTTTGTTTCCTGGTTCCTGCAATCTGTTTTGAACTAATGCAGAAAGGAGGTCCATGCCTGCTTCTGCTTCTTTTAATGACTAGGCTATTAGATGCTGACTGTCAGGGGTGAAATAATTTCCACCTTAAAGTTCCTTGCTTGCTTTTGAACTCTTCTATTCTAAGAGGCACAAGGAGATTTTTAGTTCACAAAATAAAAAACGGACCACTTTCTAACTGAGTTTCTTAGGCTGTGTTAGCCACTAGTCACTTTCGAAATCTAAAATCTTTTGCGGTATCTTTAAATTAACTCTTCAAGCATCATGTGTGCCTGGATTGGCTCCAACATAAGATTGTCTGGAGCTGATGTGCCATTTTGGTCTTCGACAGTTGCCCGCCAACCTTTTTGGTTTTCCCAAGATTGCCCCCTTCCTCTATGGCTATAGCATTTTAATGCATCACTCAACTGGCCCCATGTTGGGTTGAACTGGGACTCACCTGGAAACACGGGACTCAAACAGCACAGAAGTGTGATGGAGAAAGTGCTCTAAGGTGTTAAATTCAAGGCCAAACTCTCCATCCAGAAAATGTTCTGCTAATAAATGTCAACTCCACCTGAACCAGATGTCAAAACTACCATTCTACTTCAGACACTAACATCTGAACAATTATGGGCATTTCGCCTGCAGCTCTGACAAGTTCTCTTTCTCTAAACATTTATAGCATGAATGCAATAAGAAAAAGGTATTTTCTATATGCACATATGCCCATAAGCTCTTGGGGCATCCAAAGCAAATATTATTGCTGTTAAAGCAGGCATACATGTCACCAAAGATGGTTCAGCTATTCATGTCAAGTGTGTAAAGGCCACTCTGAAATCTTCTCAAGGTCCCAAATAAACCTCTTTCCTAAGGATTATTTACCTACAGAAGAAGGCCCTGTGGATCAGCCTTCTAGATATTGTGTTGCTTCAGCCACAGGTGGTTAATCAGCCTGAAGAATGTTCCAAAACTCTCCACAAGATTATTTTGTTTTTTAACAGTAACATGTCAGAAAGAAGGATAAGCTAGAGGCTGTCAAGCTACTTTTCTATGGGCAAGTTGTTGTTCTTAAACAGGGGAGCAATCATAGCTCTGTTGGTAGAGCATGAGACTCTTACAATCTCAGGGTGGTGGGTTCAAGTCCCACATTGGGCATTGCAGGGGGTTGGACTACTAGATAATCCACGGGATCCCTTCCGACGCTACAATTCTTTGATACTATGAAACAGGCAGCCTCTGACCTAGCGTGGCATATAGCCGTATTCCATAGAAAATGGATTCCTCTGCATGTATAACTTGGCTCCAATCAAACATCAGAAAGTGGAATGCTTGTTTTCCTTTTCAGCTGTTTTTATTTAACTTGGTTTGGTTGGGTTTTTTGCTCTTCAGCAAAACCTCTGAAAACTGGATTAAACGAAAGCAACTAAAATGAAAAGGAGCAGTACCTTCAGTGACAACCAGGAGGCTCTCAGTCTTTTCCTTTTCAAAGCGAGTATCCATTTCCTCCTGAGAGGCCTCCTCGTCCTCCTTCTCCTCCTGCAGCCTTTTCATTCTGTCCATCAGGGCCTCCAGCTCACTTAAAGAATCTGAGATCTAGAAACACATCACATCCTTCAGGATCAAATACAGATCATTCCCTCTCCGGCCCCCAGTTCCATACACAACATTTTTGGGGACACGCTCAGGTCTGTGCACTGCATGCACTAACAGATTTAAAATTGCGCCAAGCAAGTTTTGTGCACTGCCTAAATCATGCAAACGTTCCTGGGGCCCATTAAAAAATCCTACCAATCTGATCCAGCCACTCCTCTGGTTAATGGAATTTCAGCAGGCATTGCCCACAGATGTTTAAGTGTATTGTAAAAGCAGTTAAGAGAAAGAAACTTCCTTTCTGTTTTAAAATGAAAGCAGAGAACCTCCGGAAGCTTGTTTTTGGGTCTAGAATCACTTTCTGTGTTTGAAATGCAGCTGCAGAACCCACAAGCTCTGACCATACCCAGCCCGTTCCTTTAGTTCTTTTGTGCCAGGCTCTTCTTTGCAAATTCCAATCCGATATGCTGCTGTGCATTTGCCAGTTCAGCCCCTAAGAGTCCGCACACTGTCACTTTTGCCCCCAATCTACCTGTATCACTTTACTCTAAGCCAGTCAATCAATGATATCTGATCCCCCTTTTTAGTATCCCAAAGAAGTTGTGACACATCATTTGAGAAAGCAACTTTTCTTTTCGTAAGTAAGTCACTATTACAGAATGACAACTATTTGTTACCTCTGCCTACTGACGTTTTGTAAACGTAATTGCATGATTTATACGGCCAGCAGAATCCTTGGTAAGGAATGCGAAAGCCATCTTAGAAAAGGCAATTTTTAGTCGTCTGGAAGAACCCAAGAGCTCTTTGTAGCTCCTTCCTCTAGAAAGGTTTGCTATTTAGGGCTGTACAAAAGGGACAGGCTCTGGTTGGAACAAGATGGAACTAGACTGTTGTCACTTGGAATAAAAACGGTAGCAGAGGAGAATTTGGTCACCCTAAGGATGAGGGTGAAAATGTTTATGATCATCCAGATGTTGGGAGGAGAAGAACTGAGCAACAGAGAAGAAAGGAGTAACATGATCCTCCCATGTTCTGGCATGGGTCTGCCCCTCCCAGCAACCCACTGATTCCTCCTGACCTCACATGGCTATTAAGTGCTTTCAGATGCAACCTCAGACACTGCCTGGGCAACAGAATAAGGCTCTTTTCAAGACTGCCTGTCATTTTGCTGGTTCCAGTGAAGACACCAAGGTGTGGGGAAATGGGACCGGGAGGGAGGAGCGAAGTAGTGTTCAATCAGTTTATTATGGCCATAGACCACCAGCAGCAAAGTGGTGTTCCGGTGAGAGTTTGCACTACTTACAATTTGCGAAAGAGAAATGTATTTCATGTTAGTGCTGCGTTTGCAGTCCAGTGTTGCTTCCCCTACCCTGAAACCGACATCTCGATTCTGTCCTGCAGAGCTAGCTTGCCTCTCAACTGACCTCTCTTTCGGATCTGCCTGAAACACCCCACTCAACTCAGATCCCAATTCTTCTGGGGTTTGAGTTTCAGCTCCCTATTTCCCAGCCCTGACAAACATCGGAAAAGCTAATCTCTCAACCCAACCACAAGCAGTAAACGCACCTCCTCTCCACCCTGCAAACCCCTTCCAAAAAAAGTAAGAAAAAAAAGTGGGACAAGCAAAATGGGAATTAAAGAAAAAAAAATCTGGCAAGACTAACCCCAAAGTTGTTACTGATGAGGGACGCGTTTTCAATGTTGTTGTCGTTGGCAAGGTCGCAGACACAGAAATTGTTAACTGATATGAGCCTGTAGCCGTTCGAGGTATCGAGATCTCTCTCTGGATTGATGCCACTACCAAAGACAAAGCTTGCCAAGGCATGGTAGTGTGCCAAGAGGACCACAGCATGCACCAGTTCTGGAAGAGACCAATTATTTTCCCCTGTCTTGACAAGTTTCTGAAACGGATGAAAAAAGGAAGACATATGCATATATGTTAGATGCAGACACAGGAAGGAGACGGAATATTCCAGTGACAGGAAGGCAACAGTTATCTGGTCTCTTCCAAGTTTCCATTTTGAGAGGGGTAAGTTGGGAGCATCAGTATCAAATGATGCCAGAAGGCTGCCAAGTCACAAGGGAAATTTTTTTTTTTACAGCGTGCTATGGTTTAAGAGAAAATTGTATGAAAATGATATATCGATGGCAACTAACACCAAGTAAACTTGCAAAAATGTATAAAACTAAATCAAATGAGTGTTGGAAATGTAAAGAGAAAGAAGGTTCTTTTTATCATATGTGGTGGTCTTGTAGGAAGGTTAAGGGTTACTGGGAAATGTTATACGAAAAACCCAGAAGCCTTTCACTTGCAAATTATAGGGATAAAAAGGTAAAGGGACCCCTGACCATTAGGTCCAGTCGTGACTGACTCTGGGGTTGCGCCGCTCATCTCGCTTTAATGGCCGAGGGAGCCGGCGTACAGCTTCTGGGTCTGCTAGGTTGGCAGGAGCAGGGACCGGGCAACGGGCGCTCACCCCGTCGCGGGGATTCGAACCGCCGACCTTCTGATCAGCAAATCCTAGGCTCTGTGGTTTAAGCCACAGCGCCACCCGCGTCCCCTATAGGGATAGAACTACCTAAATTGTATAGAAATTTTTTCATGTATGCAACTACAGCGACAAGAATGTTACTTGCCCCAAAATGGAAAAAAGAAGTAGTCCCAGAAAAGGAGGAACGGATACAAAAACTTATGGAATACCCAGAAATGGCGAAACTTGCCAGAAGAGTAAGAAATCAAGATAACAAACTTTTTATAAAAGAATGGAAATGGCTTATTGAATATTTACATATATATTGTAAACAAATAGAAACACCGGCAGGATTATTGTAATAACCTGCAGCTACATAAGGGTATATATATATATAAAGAAGATAAATAAATGACTGTGTTAAGTTAATTTGGATATGCAGAAGATATTAAAAATAAATTTAAGGAACCATAGAAAGAGGGGGAAAGAAGCCAAGTTTTAAAATGTCAACATGATTGTTAAATTAGTGAAATGTATATATCTGAAAAGTATAAATAAAATACATTTTTTAAAAAGTCACAAGTAAGCACTATTTAGGCACTACCAGCCTTTCCCAACCCTTGCCTTTTTCTGGGCAACAGATGGGAAGGGCCATAGCTCAGTGACAGAACATCTGCTTTGTATACACATTATCGCAAGGTCAGTCTGTACCAAATCCATGTAGGACTGGGAATGTCCCCTGCCTGACACTTCGCAGAGCCACTGCCAGCCAGTGTAGACATTACTGAGCTAGATATACCAAGGTGGACCACTGGCCTAAGGCACTTTCCTATGCTCCTATGGGCTCTTGTGCCTTTAACCAGGATTGTAAGTGGCCGTTTCTGTATCCTGGATGCTGTTTTTAAAAAATCACTGACTTCTCTCTCTCCCCCTGTTATTGCTTGAGCAAAAACTACTTAGCCATTACACCACTCTTCTGAAAAAAGCTTAAATAGGATTCCTAGGCAGGCCCACTGCAGAAGAAAGTCCCTACAAAGAAATTGGCTCCAAGAAACTCAAACAAACAAACCCAAGCCAAGTTCACCAGGTTAAAAAAGAAGACGTTTGAATGAGATTCCCTCCTTCCCAGACCTTATTCCTTTTAAAAAACAACAACGCACACATAGACACTGTAGTAATTTACACATATGCAAATACTGGATCGTTTCTCATTTGTAGTAAATACCTGAATGTGCTCTTTTGAAACTAGCCAGGGTCGATGTGCAAGAAGCTTATTGATTTCATTCAGGTTTTTCAGTCTTTGTGGAACGTATTCCAAGCCATTCAGCCATTCTGGGATCCCTCCAGTCTTCAGGAACTCATCCACATGCATGTTTATAAGGTAGGAACACTGGTGCCTGGCAGCAGCCTGGAGTCGGAAACAAAGATGAAAGTGAGCTGATCGAAACCTGCCTACTCTCCTTGAGGAAAGGAGGAGAGCGCAGGCACAAGAGAGAAAAATGCATTGTCTTAAAGGCGGAGAACCACGCATTAAACACATGTGCAAGAAATTCCAGTTTGTTTTCTCTGACAGAAAGGCAGATGATAGAGCAAGAAACCTGTTTTGAAAAGCATGATTTTTAAAACCAAGCAAGCGATAAATGTGCATACTGAACGTCTGCAAGTATGCCCTAGCAGAGCAGCCAGGACACTTCCAGCCAAATCCCTACTTCAAATTTTGCCGTGAATTCAAAACGTGGCCTTGGGAAAAGCACCAGCTTTCAGCCTCAGTCCTCTCCTCTGCACTATGGGCATAAGAATATTGATTCATTTTTACAGGACTTCATAGATTGTTGTTGACAGACTAATATATGTGAAACACTTTGAGCATTTGAATGCTAAGTAACATATTTTGACTACTTGCAGGATTTGGCAATTTAAGGACTATGCTTTGCATTTTACTTATTTTAAATGGAAATTTAAAGAGGAACAGGTGGTGTGTGGTGGCTCAACTGCTGGGCCTGGACTGGAGATAAATATCTTTGTTCAGTAAGTTCAGATCCTTACTGAGCCATGACATATTCCAGCCAGGCAAGAACACAAAGACACCTGGTGTGGGAAGCAAGGCCAATGAGGGGACTGCTCTGAGGAGAGGTCAAACAGCCAGATAGAGAGGCCTGGGGAACCACATTCTGCCTTGGGCCTGAGGTTCCAAGGGAAGCAGATCACTGCTGAGAATTTATAAATTTATTCTGTAAATAAATAAAATTTATTTACTGAATAACTAAATCCATATAACTTATTCAGAGTGCAGCGCTGAGTGTTCCTGCATGTGAAATATATATTCTATAACAGTATCCAGCACATAGTCCATGTCATTGATCGCAGGGAAGCAATTTCATTTATGGCTGCATGTCAATCACCTTGGGATGCAAGCTCTGGTATAAATCCCTTAATACTCTGGGATTGGTGCCTTTCTTCTGAAGCCAGGCTCGATCCTGCCTCAAGTCCAGCTGCTGGAATTTAAAGCTCTTAAAAATGCCAGACTTGTGAGATAGCACCCTTTTTCTTTTCTTTTTAAACCCTCACAAAGTGAAACAAATAAATGTTGGTTCGATTTGCAGAAGCGCTGGAAAGGATACAAATGTCAACTACAACCGGGAAGGAAACAATAAGAGGTAGAGTTTCTGAGTACATACCATGATTGCAATGTAGTGCCGGTAGGGCAAAGGAAGAGGCCCGTCCATACGCAACATATAGAACTGGCTGCGAAGGAAAGACTCCAGGTATTGAGTGTGTAAACTCATGACCTGGGTGATGTTGTCTAGGCGGCCCGATGTAGAATATTCTTCCACAAGCAGGTGCATGCGTTCATTCAGACTGTTGGCTTGGATAACCTACAGGGAACATAAGCAAAACAAGCTAGCTAGGGAGGATACTTATATTTACCTCTATACTGTACTATAATCAGTCGTACCAACAGGCTAAAAAACAGTTTCTATCTGTGGGCTGTTAAGCTGCTGAATGGAAAATAGTATAGTGCAACTGACTTTTGGGGTTGGTGTGTTGTGCGACATGCACACAGAGTGCAATGAAATTGAGTGTTTGGGGGGGGAGGCTTGGTTAATTTCATTGTACACAGACTGTACATTGACAATAAATGTATTACTACTACTACTACTATTATTATTATATTCAACACCTTTTTTATGAGACCCTCGAGGAGCTATGACCATTCCAAAAACAAACAACTATAACAACCACAAACTAAGTTCAAATGGTGGTTTACTCCATCTCTGTAGAACTTGTTGGTGAGATAGCCTCTACAGAATATCTACTGTTGCACAAACTTCTATAATCACAGCCTACTTTATTAAAGGGTTTTTAACAATTCCGTGCATCCAGAAATCTTTTTAGCAAATAAACATTCAGTAGAAATTAAAGCCTGCAGAAACACACAACAGAATGCATGCTTGCATGCCCAAGAAACTGGCATAAAGAACGCAGGTGTAAGCATATGTTTACACCAGATCCAAGCCCCGTTCAGCGGCAAGGACAGGAGCTACTGCTCTGCCTAAGCCTGGCAGAGGGAAAACAAGCCTTTAAAACAGAGTTCTATGCCAGGTTGCCAGGTCATGTGACTGAGCTGAACAGGCGAGTTTCCTAGGTGAGTTTCCCTTCTGGAATTCTCATCCAAGAAATTTAATCCAAGCGGTCACCTGCCTGATATAAACCTGGGGTCAAAGCTGTTTAGACACTACACTCAGGAAGAAACATAGGGTGCAGGGGGGAACATCATTCAACAGGAATCTGTCCCGTCATCATTATTGCACATTTAAGGTGCGGGAAATAAACTTACTTCCTTTTCTGGTATAAAGGCACTTGGTCCTCTTGTCAAAGGCAGGGAAACTCTGATTTTCTTTTCCTGCAGAAGAAATAGCAGATGCAAAAATTACCATGCTTTCAAAATATTAGGCCTAGAAAGCCTATTGAGTCAGACCATTGGTCCATCTAGCTCAGTACTGTCTCCACTGACTGGCAGTAACTCTCTCTAGGGTTTCAGGCAGGGGACATTTCCTGCCCTGTTTGGAGGCGCCAGGGATCAAACCCGGGACCCTATGAATGCAAAGCAGATGCTACAGCCCTTCCCAGGCAAAATGGGCAAGGTTGTGTCTTCACTGAATTCTGTATGAAGAGATGGAACACTTCTAGAAGCCAAGCCTTATGAGGAACAGTTGAAGGAGCTGGGTACGTTTAGCCTGGAAAAGAGGAGACTGAGAGAAGGTATGATAAAGGTAAAGGTAAAGGGACCCCTGACCACTAGGTCGAGTCGTGACAGACTCTGGGGTTGCGCCACTCATCTCGCTTTATTGGCCAAGGGAGCCGGCGTACAGCTTCCAGGTCATGTGGCCAGCATGACTAAGCCGCTTCTGGTGAACCAGAGCAGCGCACGGAAACACCGTTTACCTTCCCGCCGGAGTGGTACCTATTTATCTACTTGCACTTTGTCGTGCTTTCGAACTGCTAGGTTGGCAGGAGCAGGGACCGAGCAACGGGAGCTCACCCCGTCGCGGGGATTTGAACCGCCAACCTTCTGATCGGCAAGTCCTAGGCTCTGTGATTTAACCCACAGCTGTCTTCAAATATCTCAAGGGCTGTCACATGGAAGATGGAGCAAGCGTCTTTTCTTCTGCTGTAGAAGGTAGGACTCGAACCAATGGGCTTTAAGTCACAAGAAAGGAGATTCCAACTAAACTTATGGAAAAACTTTTTGACGGTAAGAGCTTTTTGACAATGGAACTGTCTCGCTCGGGAGGTTGTGGACTCTCCTTCCTTGGAGGTTTTAAAGCAGAGGTTGGATGGTCATCTGTCATGGAGATTCCTGCATTGCAGGGGGTTGGACAAGATGACTCTTGGGTCCCTTCCAAGATTCTATGATTCTGACCTATATGGCCTGGCCCCTCCTCCTGTTGTGGGGCTGGGGCAAAGATTCACCTACCACGCAGTACCACTAAGAACATCCACAGCACGTCAATTTCAAATAGCACTACCTCAAATCATCAGGTATGACATACTGAATAGAATGGGTGGTGCTAGAAGAGGGCAGAGCTTGGAAAATACCCAGAGGAGGAGCAACAGCTAGACTGTGAATTCTTAGGATGCTGGAAACCAGTCCAGCTTGCCAAGCAAGCTCCCCACTATGTAGCTTGCAGCATGGTCAAAACAATGATCCCAGCAAGAAGCCACTCACTTTTAAATATCTGCTTTTATACGCTTTTTGTTTGTTTGTTAGGAAAATGTTTACTCCAATGCAATTTACAGAGAGATGTGATAATCGTAAACCATTAATACAAAACCACGCTGTGTAAATTAGGGATGGGTGAATCCGTCCATTTAGCTTTACTTCAGTTTCTCATTTTTCCAAATCTTAAATCGACTTAACTATATTTCCACATCCGCTTATAGCTTTAAAAAAAAAAGCCCCCATGAAAATTCATCAACATTTTAGTGCAAATTTCCCCTAACAGTTCTTTGTACGCAATTTCGCCTAACTCAGTATTTCCGCAAAACAATATGTTATGCACCCCTGCCTGAAAGCAATCCTACTCGCCACAGGTGACCAAGCCATCTGCAAGCCTGCTGTAAGACTGGACAAAAGAACCCAAAGGGTTTTTGTTTTTTTCACATATGGGCAGAGAAGCACATTCTACACACATAAGCAATTTGTTTAAGGGCTCCAAAAATCATTAACAACGCTGCAGTTCTTGGAAAGTTATCAGAAAAATATATTGTAGCAAGTTCCAAAAAGAAAGGGGGGGGCAGAGAAGGAAGTGAAGCCCTGCCAAGTTAACACACACACACACACACACACACACACACACACACGTGTGTTATGTCAAGCTTCTTGGACACAAAAGGCAGAAACGCATGAAGAACTAATGCAAATTGTTTCCCAAGTGGTGAAGATTTTGGACGAGGAAACATACAGAAAAGCACAAGCAAATGCTTGCTGCCTGGGAAAACAGCAAGCTGTAGGCTGGCCACCCGTTTAGATAGCTTCTTTTTGCAACAAATGAGCCAGGAATGGCTCGAGTTCTCTTCGCCTGATACTTTCCCACTCAATTCAAAACAAGTTCTGATTTAATTTAATTAACACGTTGAGTAATACGCTGCCCTGGCTGTGCAAGTAGATGTCTCCTCATCTCACTGCGCAGCGAACTAACTCTGTCGTTCTTCTTAACCCTTCACGGGTTTCCAAGAGCTGGGGACCTCACGTTGTGTTCCGCTGCCTCCGCATGATCCTGGCATCAACCTCAGACTGCCAGTATTTTGTGGGAGGGATTCAAGTGCACACAAGAAACTTAGATCTGGGCAATTAAAGTGAATTAGTTGTACCTGAGATGAGCAGATAATAACCTCCGATGTTATTAGGCTCTTGTGTTTGTAGGGGGGAAGAGTTCTAGGGTTTGCTGCTGGGCAGACTTATTTATTAAACACCACCAATTCCCCCCCCCAAAGAAAGTTGACAGGGTGAAAAAATTGACCCTGATGCTTATTATGTACTATTAAGTATTCTTTCGGCATTATGCATTATTATACATTGCTAATTATTATGAACCGTGTTTATATAATTATATTATGCTTTTTGTATTTAATGAAGATTATGCTATGTATTTGCATTAGGTGGTTTATGTTGCTATGCTGTAAAAAAAAAGGTGGCCTTTTGAAGAAGGGTGGTATATAATTTCTTAATGGTTATTATTATTATAATAATGCTTTGCTGCTGTAGCACAGCAAATCTACTTTTAAAACAAAACAAAAACACTTCTCCCTTGAGAGGCTGTGGGCTTTCCTTCCTTGGAGGTTTTTAAGCAGAGGCTGGATGGCCCGTCTGCCATGGATGCTTTTGTTGACATTCTTGCATTGTAAGGGGGCTGGACTAGATGACCCTCGGATCCCTTCCAACTCTTAAGATTCTATGATTCTGTGTCCATGACATATCCTTCTCTCTCACGGTTCCACTTCTCCACTGAAAATCTCCCCCTCGCAGCCTCCACTCTGTAAACGAGAAGAGGAGCCAGTGGTCAGAAACTGAAGACATGTGGTTGGAGGTGGGGATTTCTGTTGAGCTCCAAGATACTCTCTGGAACAAGATTTCAAGCCTGGGTCAAAACAATAAGGGCTTTTTCTTTTATTTTTTTTTGTGACTTGTCAGATTTTGAAAAAGAAGGCGTGCCATGCAATAATATTGTACAGTGGTGCCTCGCAAGACGAAAATAATCCGTTCCGCGAGTCTCTTCATCTAGCGGTTTTTTCGTCTTGCGAAGCAACCCTATTAGCGGCTTAGCGGATTAGCGCTATTAGCGGTTTAGCGGCTATTAAAGGCTTAGCGGCTATTAGCGGCTTAGAAAAAGGGGGGGGGAGCGAAAAAAATTGCAAGACTCGCAAGACGTTTTCGTCTTGCGAAGCAAGCCCATAGGAAATTCGTCTTGCGAAGCGCATCGGAAAACCCTTTCGTCTAGCGGGTTTTTCATCTTGCGAGGCATTCGTCTTGCGGGGCACCACTGTATATCTGAGGCTTGGTTTAATTGAAACATTGTCTATGTGCCCTTGAGAAGGGATTGGAACATAACACATGTGAAAATAAAATTTCAACCTCAGGCGGAAGTTTACTTTTGGAGGTGCAGCTTTCATCCATGTTTGGGGTTAGCAGCAACTGGCAACCTATGTGCAAAATTTAGCCTCTAAATGAGTGCTACCTTATTTCCTCCATCCTCCAGTTCCCAACTTTGCATTGATAAGGGTCAGTTTAGAGGCAGGACAGCAGTCCCTCAAAGCCCTACTTCTTAGAAGTGACCTTCCAGTGAAACTATTGACTTGATCAAAAAATAGGTGCTTGGCTACTAAGTGCTGTGTGTGTTTAAAGTATTTCCCTTTAAATCCCACCTTTCCTCCAGACAGTCTCCTGCTCAGGTACTAACCAGGCTCAGACCTGCGCATCTTCAGAGATGGAACTACATCAGACAACTCCAGATACATTCTCTGGGCTTGAGCCATTCTCTGATTGCTATTGTTCCAGGAAAATATGAATTGGTGCAGTTCCTATGAATTAGGTACATTTACGAGTCGTGGTTGGGGAAAAGAGGTAGGAATTCCCCCCCCCCCCCACTAATGAAATGCAGCCTTTTGAGAGTGTTTATTATTTAGAGAGCTGAATGAAATAGTGGAAAAACATCACAGAGCTGTAGGAACTGCAGCTTTCTGCTGCATGAAATGCCAACACTTATTCAGCTAATGGTCTAAGTAACCTAATGGACAGTAAGTACCTCGTTTTGAGTCCGCCTCGTCGAGCGTCCATTTCGGCAAACGTTCGCGGCAAACCTGGAAGTACCAGAGCGGGTTACTTCCTGGTTTACTGCTCTGCGTGCATATGCAGAGTGGTGCGTTGTTGTGCATCCTTTTCGTTTAGCATCCAGGGCTCCGGAATGGATCCTGGTCGCAAAACAAGGTACGACTGTATCTGGAGGGGGGTGGGTGGACTGAGAAATCAGATGATTAACCTGGTGCCTTACTAGTCTGCAAAGGACTTAGAACTAGTTTTATGGGAGGCGGAGGCACATGAGGAGCGCATGGAAGATGGTAGTCCAGCCCCACCCCAGTGGGCTATTAGGACATCCCGTTTGCCACAGCCATTAGTCCCTCCCCACTATTGGGCTGGCACCAAGGGATTGTGATAGTGACCAGTACTCTGTCAATCTGTCCTGGATGCTCTCCAACTCTACAATTCTATTATTCTTAAGGGGCATATTCGGCAAACCCTGCCTTATACAGACTTCTTCCCTGAGGAACACTGTGCTGTGCACAATATAATATCCCAAGACATTTTATGAAAAGGGGGGGGAGGAGCCAATGTATGATCTCTTAGAGTCCTTGTGCCATCCTGTTTTTAAATAAATAATCTATAAGACACCATCTGCAGACTCTAGGTCTCCCTGCCTTTATGCAAGCCGAAGGCGAACGGCACCTTGGCAGAAACAGAACCACAAACTTGGTTGGGATGCTTTTCTACAAGGCACGTGGCATTTCAGAGCCTTAGAACGACATTGCCTTCAGGCAGGTTTAGGCAAGAAACAGAGGACTGCTGGGCAGGCAGCACAGAAGAGAATCAGCCATTCTGCAGGCAAGTCGGTTGAAGGGAGCTCATTAGATGGCAGCACTAAACAAGCTATTGCTCGAGAAAGCTATTTCAGATACGTGCAAATGTATCTGCGCAAATGCTCCAGAGATCATCATAAACATCCACATTTAACCTAGAAGAAAATGGGCCCTTCGTGTCCCATTCAAGTCATTATTATTTTAACCACAGGGATCTGGCATTCCTGTCTGGGTAAGGGTCATCCGCACAGCAGTGTGGGAGGAAGATGGATCGGTGCCCCAGGCCACCCCCAACCCCTTTAGCGTGAACAAAGCTGCAACTCCCGCCCTGCCCGCCCTTGCCAATCTGTTCCATAGACCACAATTGCAGGGCCAAAGTAATATCCATATTTTTTTTGCTTTTCCATGTTGTTGAAATAAAAGCACAGGAAGCTGCCCATCTTGAAACACCCTTCAAGGGCAGAGAGACAGCCTATGGGCCAAATGAGATGATGCATAAAACGTGCGAATAATAATCATTAATGAGAATGGTGAGAAGTTCAGGGTAATTTTTTAAACATTTTGACAGAAACAAGTTGTTATTATTATTAATTACATTTTTACACTGCCTTTTCAGTGGTACCTTGGTTTACAAACTTAATCCGTTCCGGAAGTCCGTTCTTAAACCAAAGCGTTCTTAAACCAAGGTGTGCTTTTCCATAGCAGCGTAGGACTCAATTTACAAATGGAACACACTCAACAGGAAGCGAAACATCTTCTTATTCCAAGGCAAAGTTCACAAACCAAAACACCTACTTCCAGGTTTGCAGCGTTCTTAATCCAAGTTGTTCATAAACTAAGCTGTTCTTAAACCAAGGTACCACTGTATACTTGTAGGTCTCAGGACTGTTCACACTACCCAAGCTTATGCCCTGGGGAGGTCACTTCGGTGCTGCTAACACAGTGGTTTTACTTCACCCTCAGAGATGCACTTCATTGTCTCTCGAGATAGACGCATGCCAACTATATCTTCCAGGCAGCTACAATTCCCATCGTCCCTGACCACTGGCACTGTTAGCTAGGGAGGGCCAAGTTTGCCCATGCCTGTCCTATGAGGTAGGTTAGGCTGAAAGAGAGTGAATGACTGAAAATTGCCCCATGAACTTCATGACCAAGCAGGGATTTAAACCCTCCCTGGTCTCCCAATCAGTTGATGCTTTGCTATATAGGAATACTAGTACTCCCAATTCTGTGTCAACCACACCCTCACAGCAGCCATTTTGTGTCAAGCCACGCCATCTTGGGGTAGCCATTTTGTGACTGGTGCCCACACAATTCTTTAAAAATTCCAAATTTGTCCCCTGGCCCAAGAAGTTTCAAACCACTGTACCAAACTATGCTGGCTCTTTAGCAGACATAGGCAGGCTGTCTTGCTCAAAAGAACTGCACTGGAAACATATAAGCTGAAGTTAATTTGAAAGTTATAATGTGCATAATTAAGAACAATTCTTCCAACGTTTGCGTGTATATGGTGGATTAGAGCCATCTGCCTTTTGGCTATGCTTTCTGTAGCACATTCATCCACTTTCAAAATGTAATTCCTGGCATTGATGAGTCTTCTCCTGGCCAGCTGAATCCATGTGTCAACCAAAGTTATAAGAAGGCCTGATACTGCCAGACTCAAGTCCAGAAATCATTTTTACCTTCCCACCCACCAGCCCGACATGGAGTACTGAGTGCATTAACTTGTGACATTTAAACATTGTGGTGTTTTTGTCTTTCCTGCTGCCTTTCTTTCTTTAAAAACTGAGGAGAAACTGATATTGGGTACGCACCACAAACTCCCTCCCTAACTAAAAGCACCCTCCTTTACATATATTTTTTTCCAGGACACTGCACACATGGGCAAAGGCAGCCACCCATTCAGAGGGACTTCAGGAAACACGGCCTTCAACTTTGAATTGATTTCATGGCATCACTACATAACCAAAGCAGACGGGCTACGACGGCGCCACCACTGGGCATGTGACTCCAGGCTGCGGGATCACTATTCCCAACATGGTTTCATAAACAAAAAACAAAGAGGCAGAAAAGATGTCAAAGAAGCGGAAAAATAGGGACAACCAAGAGGTGCAATAAAAGAGGAACATTTGGGAGGAATATTCTGAAGAACCAATGGTTTCAAGCAAGGTAATCATAGATATGGCATAGCGAGCTCTGAGCACGGATCTTTGTGTAGTCCAAATGGCATCATTCACACACAAAGGAGATTTCAGCAGGCGTGGAGGAACTCTAAGCTTACAGAAGTACCGAAAATTATAACAGAAAAGTGGGGGAAGAGTCCAAAACAGATGAATGAGGTCTGAGCACATTAAATGGCTTTTTTGGGGGGGGGGGGGAGAAAGAAGAGGAAAATCAGGGGGTGGAAGAATTGAATGAAATACCCTGAAAGAAGACATACTGGATGGCTCCCTAAGCAGAAGCATTCCACACTTCAGAAATTTGCTTCTGGTCCCACTTGAAATAATCTAAAAGCCAGTTTGCAACTCTCTACCATGCTATAGGGTGTCCAACGAAAACCATTGATAAAGCTTTTGGGGAGGGGGAGAAAGTGCTTGACTCTCATTGGCTGGGGTTTACTTGGGCCAGAAAACAGGTTTGGTCCTCATTCCAAGTGTCCTAAATGCATCCCTTTCCTTCCTGCCACATAAATGAAGGATTGCCATTTGCTCACATGGGGAAAAGTCAACTGCTGCCCTTTGGGATAGTGCTGCAGTATGGACAAGAGCCAGAACCCCAAAACCCTATTGCACCTTACTATCCATTCCTGACACAAGCGCCCCAGCCCTCACAGACTAGGATCCAGCAGAGCAATGCCAACTTGGGGCAGAGGTGGATATAAACTGCACCCGCCTCTAAGAGTCCTTGCAGTAATCAGGACTTTTCTCCACGCACAAACCACCTTGGCACAATAGAGGCATTTGCAAGTCAGCCTATACAGTAATACACAGCTCGGGAGCAATAGCAAAGAATACAGTCAAATTTATTTTGTTGACTTCTGCTGTTTTATTGCCTCTGTTCAGCAGCTTGAAACGGAGAGATATCTGGTTGCAACAGAAAAAGAAATCTTTTCTTGCTGTGGAAACTTCCACAATCTCAGTGAGACAATTCAGCATTAAAATTTCATACCGCACCACTCAAGAGAAGAAACTCTGAAACGTGACTGTACTGTTTGCCAAAAGGACTGTGTGTCATCCAAGCTATGCATAAGTTCAGGCGGAGGACTTTGTCCCAAGAATCTTCAGTTCTATAAACTTAAAAAAACTAGTCAATCCCTTCAGACTGATTATTACAGTCAACAAATCCAAGCATGTTTGCAAATTATTCCCAGTTTAGCTCCCGTAACACCCAACCTCTTTTTGCTTTATCTGTTTTTCCCCCAAATGAAGCTCTCCTGCAATTATTTTACTTCAATAATCACCATCTGCTTTGATGGCCTTTGCTTGAGCATGCTTTAAAAGGAACCTGCTCCAGCCATGATGTGCCAGGTTTCTTTGGAGTAAAGATCAATCTGAACTGCTGATTCATTTAACATCCATCCGCCCAGATGCTTTTTCATGCTTTTAAAGACAATCAGGGAAGTGATGTACCTGTGGCTCCTAGCAGTTTATTTTAATACAGTTAGCCCGCAATTTACGCACGGGTTACATTTTGGGGGTCGCATCTGAAGCCAAAATAGTCAAAACACACTGGCAAGTGGGAATACAAATGTCTCCCCCCCCCGAATGCCCACCCCCTTTCAATTTTAAATTTTTTTTTGCCAGCACATAAAGCTGAATGCATGCAAACTGATGTGCAAAAGTTAAATCTGCATTGTGGGATTACTGTACATACACATCTCACCTTTCCTCAGAGTTCAAGGCAGTGCACATGGTTCTTTCCCACCCCATTTTATCTACAATACCACACCTGTGAGGTGAGGTTAGACCAGGGTTTCCCAAACTTGGGTCTCCAGCTGTTTGTGGACAACAGCTCCCACCATCCCTAGCTTAGCAGGACCAGTGTGGTCAGGGATGATGGGAATTTGTCGTCCAAAAACAGATGGAGACCCCTGTTTGGGAAACCCAGGTTAGACCAAGAGATGGGCCCAAGGCTACCTGGGTGAGCTTGGTGGCTGAGGTTTCACTGGTTCGGGTCCAATACTTTCACTACTGGCACCACACTGGCAGATAGATCTTCTCCCTGCCATGCTCAAATACCTTAAGGAGCAACAGGAGGCTACTTCAACTCCCACACTAGGGTTGCCCACGCTTCCAGGAATGAAACCATCATGAGGAGGAGCTGTAAGATAGTCTCCTCCTGTATGCCCAGTCTCTCATTACCTTTGGGGTATTGCAGTGGGGTATTCCACTTACTGGCATCACTCTGCTAAAGTAAGAAGGGAGAGGCAGAGAACAGTTCTAGACATTGTATTGACTAAACCAAGGGTCAGCAAACTTTTTCAGCAGGGGGCCGGTCTACTGTCCCTCAGGCCTTGTGAGGGGCCAGACTACTTTTTTTTGGGGGGGGGATGAACGAATTCCTATGCCCCACAAATAATCCAGAGGTGCATTTTAAATAAAAGGACACATTCTACTCATGTAAAAACACGCTGATTCCCGGACTGTCCATGGGCCGGATTGAGAAGGCGATTGGGCTGGATCCGGTCCCCGGGCCTTAGTTTGCCTACCCATGGACTAAATTGACAAGATTTTGGGTTGCACCTTCTGGGATGCTTCCCTGCACCTTAGACTGCAAGGAAGCAGAGACCTACTGAACTCTTTCTGTAACATAAAAGTTTGCTGCATGCCCTGAACTGGCAACTCAAAGACCAAGGAGGCTCTTTCCCTGGTGTGCTACTTTATGAGCATTCAGAAATGCAACCCTCGTGTCCATCTCTAGTCTGAAGTGGCACAGCCCAGAATTCTGTCCCCCTCAATCTGTATAAAGCGCAGGAAAATATCTCAGTGATTCACCCAAGGACACAAGAAGTGTCCCCAATTCTGCATTTTCCTCTGTATGTTGGGAGAATCCCTGGGTAGGTGACTCAACTTACAAGAGAAGTTGTTCTTTTAAAAAAGGAAGAAGATCGGTTATTTATAGATCGGTTCTCCAGACCCAGAACTATATGGTTGTTCATTCTGGGTTAATTTAAAAGCAACACTATAAATAGGGATGGGAGTTGATGACATCCTGTGATGCAATCCTTGTCTGTTGTGCTCTAGAAATGACATTTTAGAGGCCCTCTTTCTTCGACCCCAAACTGTTTTACTGCTGCAGTTCTGTACATGCACACATTTCTAAGCCTGTGAAAATATTTTATACCTCAGGTTTGGGTTTGGGGAGGGCCCTAGAAGAGCTAAACTGCATTACACGATTGGTAAACAACCAAAGTAAAAATATTTGTGAGCCAAATCTATACTTTATCTTGCAATCCATGGGTAATTCCTAATTTTGTTTCCTTTTTAAATTGTGAAATGTTCAGTTAGGCACCCTGAAGGCATTTGAAAAATAGCTTTTTTCAAATAATAAAAATAAATGATAGACTAGAAGGAGCATTTTTCCTTTAGCCTCCGTGAATTCAATCATGTTGGAAGGTTGTTTTGCCTGTCCAAGTTTGAATTTGGCAAAGCTTGGTGGGTGTGGGAGAGGAAGAGGGAGAGGGAGAGGGAGAGAGAGCTCAGCAGGGAGAAATCATTTAACAACTGAAACAGAAACCTGACCTGCAACTCATACCATACATTCATTGATGAACTGTAAATTTCTATAGGAATCAGCATTTTTGATTGTGAAAGCAGTCTGTAAGGCATCCAACTTATTCTGAGCCAAAACTGCTTCAATTGCCATGTTTACTTGAGTCTAATGCGCCATTGAATCTAGCAGGCCCCTCAATTTTCAGAACATTGAAATCAAAAAAAGTATTTGCTGCTGAATGTAAATGTGCCATCAAATCTAAGGCACACCTTGATTTTCACAACATAATGTGGCAAAAAAAGGCGAGCATTAGATTCGAGCAAATACGGTAATCCTTCAATAACATGTAGGAAATTGCTAGGTTACTTCCAACTATGAAACAGTGCTTGTGCATTTAGAAAAGGAAAGCATGACATTGGTTTCTCTTAATTTCTAATCACCTTGCTCATAGCAAGACTCTTTGTTAGTTGAGCTGAAAACAAAAATCTGCTTTATGTTCTTTCAGAGCCTCAAAGTTTTAAATCTAACCAGCATATCATTTCAACTATTTTCAAAGAGAGAGATTAAACAAGGTGCCAAATGCAGCAACATGGAAGTAAACACCTTAAAAAGAAGATTGCTTTGCTTCACTGCAGAATGCATAAGCAGGAGCATTTACTCAATTCTAACAACCTCCTTTGCTCTTATATGGTTTTACTAATGCTTCAAATCTAGGTCAACAAGAGCTGAGCTTGCATGTAATGCTTGATTCACAAGCAGGGCTTATTTGTGGCTAAACTACGGTTAAGACACCAGGGAAGGTTTGGATGATTAAATCAAACCTTTATTTGTAAGCCATGACTTTATGTGTTATGTGCAAACAAGGCCAATGTGTGAGATGAAAGGGAATCCTGATTTTTCAGGAAAGCTGCAGAACTACACTTGTGCAAGAGCCATGCATGGGTGCAGGTATCTCATTTCCTTACAGCCAAACCATGAATTGACCTCCAATCTGCACCTGTGGATAGGTGGGAAGACAAGGGGTTCTGAGTTCAAATGTGAGGTACCAAGTGTGCATTGAAACAGCACCAAATAAATGTCCTGGAGAGGTTTTATACTATTCTGGGTCAGTTAAAAGACAATGCCCTTCAGTTCTAGAAAGCACAGAAAGGGCCAGTACAGACATACCTTGGATCTCGAACGCATCGGCTCCCAAACAAATCGGCTCTCAAACAATCGAAACCTGGAAGTGAATGTTCTGGATTTTGAACATTCTTTTGGAAGCCGAACGTTCGACGGGGCTTCCTGCAGCCAATCAGAAGCCACGCTTTGGTTTTCAAACTTTTTGGAAGTCGAACAGACTTCTGGAACGGATTCCGTTCGACTTCCAAGGTACGATTGTAATCGTAAGCATTTAACATTAGCCAAGGAAGAAAAATGCAACTTAGCCTCTAGGCAAGCTCCCCTTGCTGGCAACAAGTGTCTCCAACTACTAAGCCACAGAATTAAAGGTAACCCATCAAAGCCATTTGCCGCCTCTTGGTTTGACATTTCCTATGTAATAAAGCAGCTGGAAGAATAAAGCGACATGTTACCATCTTTACAGCTTTTAAATTAACTGCACCAGGAAACGGGGTGGGCGTTTCTTGTGTCCTTAAGGAGCAAGTCACTCAATAGTCAATATTTTTCTCAGTGCGAGTCCTGAGCACCACAGACTGAGATCCATGCCAAGTTGTACAAGGCTGGCTAGAGGGCAGCCAACACATGAGGATCTTTAAAAAAAAAAGTGGGTCAAAGTTCAGAATTCTTGCTTTTTATAACAGAGTACAGATTGAATGCGAATCTCGACATTGTGCCAGATCTACTCACCCTGCAAGCTATTTTTAAAAAGGCAAGACATCCCCAACCAGACAGTCTTCCCTCTAGAATCGGAGCAGCCATTGGGAACTTATTTCCGAATATACCTGTATTACGTTCTCTCCATTAGGGCTCATTCATGCAGCTCTTCCAAGGTATTCTTTAACTCACTTTCACTGTGGATTCTGTCAGCACAATCAAAAAGCAGACCCTCCAAGTGTCCCTATTTTCCAGGGACATCCCTAATTTAGACAAGACATCCTGGTTTCTGATGTGATCCCAGAATGTCCTACTTTTCCTTATGGCGTCCCTATTTTCATTAGAGAAATGTTGGAGGGTGTGGACTTATCTGTCCCCCCCCCAAGCTGTGTGAAGGCAATCCTGTATAGGAAAGGTTTTTAAAAAAATGTTTAATGTTTTATTATGTTATTATATATGTTGTAAGCTGCCCAGAGTGGCTGGGGCAACCCAGTAAGGTGTGTGGGGTATAAATAGTAAAATTATCATTATGGAATAGGACGTCCCTATTTCCATTGGAGAAATGTTGAAGGGTATGAAAAAACAAAAATGAAGACAAGAGTGAATAAAAGTGAGGAACGAGGTCTAGATAGGGGGCTCAACCCTTCGGCATGGCTGCAACTACAGATGCAGCAAAAGTCTGTAAGTCATGACACCATGTTAATGCTTCTCCACATAGAAAATCACCCTTCCCCATCCAAACAAAGACATCAACAAGAATTCCTACAATTCTTTGGAAGATGCTGTGAAAAGGACTAAAAGAACAATAAAAATTTGTAGTATGTCTAGGCCCTTGGGCGCAACCTACCTTCATGTTCTGGTTATTTGAAAGAAAACCCAGGACAATTCTGTCCTATTGCAGAGTTTCCAACTGGGCAGCTCAAAAGATCTGATAAGGTGCTGGCTGCATACCCACCCAACCCAACACATTGCTCAGGATTACCCGAGCCTTATTTGTAGGCACTTCTAGCCAAAAACAGTACAAAACTGATGCAACAGGAGCACTGCAAAGAGAAAGAGGTATGCTGTATGACAGCCATAGTCAAGCGCTTCTGGATCAACTCAGAAGACTCATTATTTTAAAGCTGTTTCAGCAACTACCAACACTGCACAGAATGCTTACGCAGCTCTCCAGGAAACAGATACAAAAAGTTTTAAGAGTGTAGACTGCTCAGTATCTTGAAAGTTGATTTTAGAGCACGGACATTTAAGAACTCTCCCAACACACTCAGCCTATTTTGTCTCTGCCAGCAGAAACCTGGCTTAGTTGTCACAGGAAGGGCTGAGTTTTACATTGCAGGTAATTTCAAAATTCTTTTGTAATGCTTAATTTTTTCTCTAGAGTAATGTAACGACAGAAGCAGCAGTGTGAGGCAGTAGTCTTGGTTTTTGTTTCAAAGTACAGTGGTACCTCGGGTTACAGATGCTTCAGGTTACAGACTCCACTAACCCAGAAATAGTGCCTCAGGTTAAGAACTTTGCTTCAGGATGGAAACAGAAATTGTGCAGCGGCAGCGGGAGGTCCCATTAGCTGAAGTGGTACCTCAGGTTAAGAACAGTTTCAGGTTAAGAGCGGACCTCTGGAACGAATCAAGTTCTTAACCTGAGGTACCGTTGTAGCCCCATCCTAAGGCTGCACCCCAAACAAGCTTACCTGGGAAAAACCTCATTGAAATTAAAGGGATTTTCAAGGAAACATGCTTAGGATGGGGATACAAGTTGAACATCTCTCCCCCACTTGCCACAAATCACTTTGGCAGCCAAACGTTAAGACTAGGGACAGGGAACCTGAAGTCCAAAGGTCTCACTGTCTTGTCATTTAGCTCTCTCACCTCGGCCCACAGCAACTCTGCCCTGAATGCTGCTCAAGTGTTCTTCCCTGGCTGGAATGTGTCCTTGAACTCGGATAGTGACTCTTTGCTTGCCTACATGGAGGATAAAGTGTGTGCATGGGTAGGAAGTTAGTCTTTCCACAAAGGTAAAATTGCTCCATCTGCTTTTGGCTCTGGCCTCAACCCCTACCGGCACCTAGAAGGTCACCTGGGTGGCAAATGCCCTTCCCTAGATTTAAACACTCCTCATCTTTAAATATTTCAGGCGTACACCTAAAATACACACCTAAAAATGTAAAGCGGAATTTCTACAAATATGTGTTTCTAAACTTGAGCATCCTATCAGGAAGCCCCAGTTTGCTGCTGCTCCCTGGAGGGAGAGAGAGAGTTTTGTTTGTTTACAGTAATACCTCTGCGAACGTCCGCCTCGTCTAGCGTCCATTCCGGCGAACGTCCGCGGCAAACCTAGAAGTACCGGCATGGGTTACTTCCAGGTTTGCCACTTGCGCATGTGCAGAAGCGCAAACTGCTCCATGCGTGTGTGCAGACGCGGTGCTTTGCCCTGCATCCTTTTCGGCTAGCAGCCGGGGCTCCGGAACAGATCCCGGTCGCAAAACAAGGTACAACTGTATTAAATTTGTGAAGTGCACACTTCCTGGGAAAACCATGAGTGAAATGGCGCTGAGAAAGCTGATCACAGCATTTGATAAACAAATCCTACAAGTCTCCTCTGAAAAAGGATCCTCTCATTGCCGTTTCTTTAGTCCTATATTACAAGTCTACTTTTTCGTTTCTCGGCTTTTAATCAAAAAGATACCAGAGATCCAAAATGCTGTTTGAGACAAACGGCTTCTTGTTTAGAGGCCAGTGTCAAGAGTAAGAACACATGTTACAGCCACATCTGAAGACTGCCTGCGTTTTGGATGCTGGCCAGTATTCCCCACCCCAAGGAAAACCAGTTTCCCCATAGCCACAGCTGCAGAGCCAACTTTTACGGAGCAAGGAAACGCCGTCACATTCTCTGCTGCAAACTGTCTAACTGGCTGCTGATGAAAGGGCAAAACTGTACCCATTTGCTGCTTCCTGTGTAAAGCCAATTTCTATTCTGAAACACCAGTTGGGGCCATGGCATTGAAGTTAGGTGGGTTAGTGAAAGCCACAAACAAACAAACAAACATATATTCATTTGGAAGGAAACAGTAATTGGGCCCTTCATTATGTGCAAACATGCCATGTCTCATTCAAAAAGGTAGGATTCCAATGCCTCCCCTGCCTTCAATACAGGAAAGGGAGATGGAATTACATCTCAACGTTGAACAAGCAAAGATCTAGCATATGTCATGACATATACACGCAAAACGTGCATCATCCTACAGGTGCACTCATCGGAGAGCCAAGATTTATTACATCTCACTGCCGAACTCTCTCTCTCTCTCTCTCTCTCTCTCTCTCTCTCACACACACACACACACACACACACAAGGACAGAGCTGCAACCCTTGGCTTGTTGCTGTGCAATGAATGGAATAGTTCTAATTTGAAAAATGCGAAATTTGCACTTAAAATGTGTAACCCACCACATGGATCCTTAAAGAAAACCCAACAGCAGCTAGCAACAAAAAGTCAACAAAAACAAAACAATCGCAGCAGTAAAACTCAACGGAAAAGATCATAAAGACGACATAATCCATATAATCCCCTATAAACGGCAACAGATCGTTTCAGCTTTGCTACAACAGCTCTCTTTGCTTCCCACACCTTCTGCTAAAACCGATGTCAAATCCAAAAGATAAACTAGCCAGGTATTCCACTGCAAAATACTCCAATTATATTTTCTGAACCGTAATTAAGGACCATTTCACAGCAAACACAACAGCACCTGGTTTGTCACAGAGTGTATGAAGAGCATCGTGTGAAGCGGTTGTCTCAGAAGGTAGGGCTGAGCCAAAATGGAACTTCTGTCTTCTGTCAGTGGTGAAATGGTGAAAGGCATTTGGGGGTGGGTTATAAATACGCAGCAGCTACATTTGAACCTCAATTACTACCAGTCCTCCCACGATGCCATCATGAAGTACCACTCATAGTTGATGATGCTCTCCCACTAGCCATCCCTTCATATTAACAGAGAACCTAATTTGTCCCCTCAAAATGGGCTGGGGATATGAACTGATGCTCCACCTTTGCTGAATTTATTTCTCTGTTTAACAAAACATATATTCCGCTTGATTGTAGTAGTAGTAGGAGTAGTAGTAGAAGAAGAAGAAGAAGAAGAGTTTGGACTTGATATCCCGCCTTTCTCTCCCCTTAAAGAGTCTCAAAGCAGCTAACGTTCTCCTTTCCCTTCCTCCCCCACAACAAACACTCTGTGAGGTGAGTGAGGCTGAGAGACTTCAGAGAAGTGTGACTGGCCCAAGGTCACCCAGCAGTTGCGTGTGGGAGAGCGGGGAATCGAACCCGGTTCACCAGGTTACGAGTCCACTGCTCTTAACCACACTGGCTCTCTTTCTTTGTAGCTAAGCCTCCAAGCTTCATAGAATCATAGAGTTAGATGGGACCCCAAGGGTCATCTAGTCCAAGCCCCTGCAATGCAGGAATCTCAACTAAAGCATCCATGGCTGATGGCCATCCAACCTCTGCTTAAGAACCTCCAATTAGCGTTATCAATAGAAACAGTGAAAAACAATGAATTGAAAGCATTTTTAAAACAAATGTATTTAACAGAACATTTTTGCTGTAAAAATAGTCACATAGAGAGAATGGCAATGCTGTTCTCTTTGCATCACTGCAGTGTTTAAACTTTTCTTCCTGCTTTGCTTTAAAAAAGGGAGAGCCCCTCAAGCATTAGTATTATTTTTTGTGTGCTCATTTTCTTCATTTGCTATATTAACACAAGGTGTATGGGCTGGTTGAGTGACTCTAGGACATGCACCTATCTTCAGCCTTACCTCGAGGGCCAAGTTCATAACATGCAATGTTTCCCTACTTGCCATTTTCAAGCATTTTAATTAAAACAGTATTAAAGAGTACGAGACAAGTCTTGAGCGCTTGCAGTGAAAATAGCTCCCTCTTCTCTTTGCTTCCTTGATGTCTGATGGCCCAAGTCCACCAGTAGCAGGATCACCATCCTAATTCTTTCAAGAGTAGCAAATACAGAAAAAACATGAAACTTAAGTATGAGCAAACTGAAACTCAAGAACTGTACTCTATCCCCAATAATAGGGATAAAGGGAGAAAGCAGTGATGGCTTTATACGAGAGATGGGGAACTTTTTTTTTAAGCCTGAGGGCCATATTCCCTCAGAGGCAACCTTCTGAGGGCCGCACGCCAGTGGTGGATTGGGAAACAGGAAAAAGTGGGCAAAGCAATGAGTATGACTCTTATGTTTGTACAATAGGCTATATTCTAGGCCACACTTGTGGAAGCATTCATGCAAGCAAACTTCACAAGTAGCTAGGCCTAGGTTAAGGTTAAGGTTGCAGAATTGTACCTTCCCACCTCCCTCCTTCCTGCAGCTGGTCTTGCCTGTGGTTAAGCAGTGTCAGCAGCAATGCTAACCACACAAGGTTTGAAACCAAGTGTTTTTGAAATGGTTAGTACATTTGGCAGCATTGCCCCAAGTCTCTGTGCCCTCTTTACGACTCCCAGAAGATGCCCCATGCCCAGGCATCCACAACTTCTAGTCAATGCCCTTTGTTGTGGTTCTTTGGTCCTGTTGGTTGGGAATGTTGGACCACCATAGAAAAAAAGAGGTTTGCCAACATGCTCAGCATAGAACAGCATGTTGTTGCAGTGCTTGGGAACTGAACCCTTAATCCATAAACTACCATATACCCTAATTCAAAGAGGCACGCTACAGAATGCAGCCAGTCTTTTTCTCTACAAGGTGCCAATTCATTCTCATTTAACACCACCTCTCTATAGGGCCCTCCTGACAACCTATTTATTGAGTGATCACCCTGATTTGCTTGCACAGAGTTTACATAGAGGTTAAACTGCTTCTAAAATTAATTTTACTGTACGTATCAGATGTATACAATATAACATAATAGTATGAGATAACAGTGGTCCTATTACAGTGGACCCCAAAATGCTTATGGTACTATAATTTCTTGAATTCTGTTGCATCAATATGTGACAAACATGCTCCAATTTTCAATAAAAAGGTTGCTTAGTTGCCTGCCCTCTCTCCTAACGAATTAGTTAACTTCACCATATAAACTATGTCCCAGATCCTTAAAATCCACTCTTCTAATGTTAATTCCCAGTTTGCAAGAATTGTAATACCTGCTGCTCTCAAGAGGTTATTATCATTTCTTCAGATAGGACTAGGTCTTTTACATAGTTAAATAATACAACTGATGAATCTAATGGTCGTTTATATCCCCAGAAAGATCACTCACCCGGTATCACACCCCAACAGCATTCTGGGATACTGAAAACCTGTGAGAAACATCTGCTTTAGAAAATCTGAGGTAGGTAAGACATAAAAAAAGCTGCACTGTCACCATAGAAACAGAAACTAACAATTACACAATCCACATAATTAAGACAGCCACTTTTCAATAAGCATATTTGTTTCTTTTGGCAGAGTTACTTGTTTGGTGTTTGCTTAAGATATAAAATTAGATTCCTTTGTGATCTCAAGACATCCATCCATCCAGAGTGTAATTAGAAGGCAAAGAGGCAACATTACCAGGTTGTTCTACCAGGTGTACCTAAATTGCAGAAAGATCTCTCTATCTAAGATTGCTATTATTCTCCCTGGGCAAGTTCAGCTCTCCACATTTCCACCTGAATTTGCAACTTGGTAAAAAAGCCCTTATTTGCCAGCATTTTAGTATGAATTTCTCTCCATGCTATTTTTTTATTTTTGCCTAATATACACATTTTTGCAAAGCAATTTTCTCTAATAAAGTGCATGTTTGTATGTCATTTCCACCAATATATGCATTTTTATGCACACTGAACCCTATGCATTTATGTACACATTAGGTGGCTGGAGAATTGCATTGCAAAATCTGGAGAAGTGCAAAATTCGAAGGATGGATGTGATTTGGTTCGCATGTTGTTTCAGAAAGCTTGAATCAGGTAGGTTTGCCTTTGAATGCAAACCAAATCAAATTTCTCCCCAATCCCTAACAGCAACATCTGCAACCATCAGTTTTCAGAACTTTGATGTATAAATCCTGACACATGAACTTAAATTGTAGACTATTACTCAGGTTTAAGTCCTACTAAGTTCAATAAGATTCTCATATGAACCACCTTTGCTTGCTGTGGCAGGCTCTCAATACAACTCTGCCCCCAGAGAAGTTGAATTTAACAAATTTTCATTTCTCAAGGAAAAATTTAGGTTGAATAACAGAATGCTGACTTTTCCTTCCTGTAACTCTTTACTATTATTTCTGTGTGGCCCTTTAGATTGCATTTCTATTCGCTTTCATGTCATCATAGCTGGACTTTTAAACTGCCTCAAGGGTTGAGCATAGATCCAATGGTAAGTCATAAATTTAAATGTAAGTAACTTAAAATTTAAGCATGACACAACCTAGGATATGCTATGTGGTTCCGCTGCATTGAAGAAGAGGGGAGAGAAAAATACACACATGGGTATTTCAGAATGGGGAAGTTTAGAAGCATTATAGCCGCTTTCCTTTGACTTCTCAATTCTACAGGCACGCGATGGAAGAAAAGGGAACTGGTGGTTGTGAACTGCTGTGCTCAGCTTGGCAGGCTTCCAGGCAAGACACGTTGACCCACCCACTCAAAGCCAGATTTTCAGCCCAGCAAGTCAGACGACAGCATCCCTTTGCAGTTGTTTACTCCTATCCTCTGTGGAAATTAGAAGCAGAAGTCAGAGCCCAACCCCCCTCCAAAGCTTGTTTGGATAAAGAAAACCCAAAGACTGTGTATGCACCCTTTCCTTACTGGTTTGCAACTGAAAAAGATATGGTATGCATCAAAATGAAACAGGGTGCCTTAGACCACGGTGCAACCAATCACCAGGCCGCCATGTTTTTTAATAAAGGAAGAAAGTGGCGCCACTCAAACATTACCTTTTTGCTGTACATCAAACATGGTTCAGGTATACAGATAAAACAGGTGTAGGGAACCTTTTTCAGTCCAAGGAGCACATCCCTTGTGGCGGGAGGGTTTAGAGGCAAAAGCAGGCAGAACAAGGAATGTAAATTTCACCTTTGTTCTGTAGGCTAATTTCTAATACAATCATACACTCTTCCTCCTGACAAGCAAGTGACATTGTCAGAAATTAAGGACACAGTTGGTAGAGCATGAGACTCTTAAGCTTAGGGTTGTGGGTTCGAGCCCCACATTGGGCAAAAGTTTCCTGCAGTGCAGGGGCTGGACTGGATGACCCTCATGGTCCCTTCCAACTCTACAATTCTATGATTCCAGCCAGGCAAAAGCATTCAAGGAGGGTGCAAAGCAGGGCCAGTGAAGGGCAGGCCTAGGGGGCAGGGGTAATCCCAACAGCCAGATCGGCTTGGAGAGCCACACTTGCCCCCAGGCCTAAAGTTCCCCAACCCTGAACCAAAAGATGAGTGCAAGAAATATTACCATCTTTGCCACTTTACTTATGCATCACCTTATACTATAAGTGTCTCAAGGCAACCCAAAGCACAAAACGCTACATACAACAGTAAAAAAAAAAGAGATCATGCACCAATTTAAACATCCCAATCCTAGCTTTCCGTACAATCACCATGAACAGCAGACTGAAACAAACTGTTAAATAGGAGGAAAGAAAAAATAATAACAGGCAGGTGCCTGGGTGGAAATTTTCAGTCTGGTGCTGAAAAGGCAGTAATGCCAATGCCAGGCAGGCCTAATTGGACAGGGCATTCCACAGACAGGGAGCCACTACTGAAAAGGCCCTCTTATGTAAATGCCCTATGTAATTTCTCAAGTACATACCATACATATATACACTTGCCCAGAAGCACGACTGAATCCAGCTCCCTACTGAGTGCACACACTGTAAGAAACTCAGTGTTGCTTCGGTGTAACATAGAAAATTATCCCTTCTTCCTTCATCCAAGCAACATGTTGGGTACAAAGCAATATTGTTCTTGTTCTCACATAATGATCACCTTTCTTCATTCAGATATGACAATGGGTTGCATTCAACTAACTTCTACTCAGAGCAGAGCCGCTGAAATTAATGGCCATGACTTAGGTCCATGGGTTTACTCTGAGTAAACATTGGTTGACTACAACCAACCAAGTATCCCAGGGGCTGTACAAACATTCTGTGGATTTAATATTGGTAAAGCACATGAGGACCTCATGGACCAAACAGAGAAATGGCTAATCCTAAAATGGCAGTAAAAGAAACCACAATATGCAACACAAGAGTCACCTCTATGGCCAGGTAGCAATTCGTAGTCCCATTTTGGTAAATGTGGTTGGATCCCAAAATATATCAATTCTAGTGCACCCAAAAACCTGCTAGGCCTTGGTGTCCATGTAAGCAGCTTTCATTGTGGCATTGGATCAATTAAATAATCTGCCCTACAGTGAACCAAAGGCATCAGAGATTTACTTTGGTTGAGAAGACACTGAAGGTACTGCAGAACCTTGCCAGATTCTAGCACACTGAGTTTCTGCTCTGGGTGGGTTGATGCTTCTGCCAGATTCTTGGCATCGATTCCAGAACCCTGCAACATCCCTCATCTAAACCAAACCTGGTTGTGGGCTCACACACTGAGTTGCCTAGCAATGACAGTGTGATTATTCCTCCTCCTTTTCAGTCTAACAAAGTAGCTGAATTGGCACAGGAGGCAGCAGCAAAGCAGCAAATGGAGGATGCACAGAGGCCTGGCCTGCTGCCCATACCTCGGCCTGCCTTGGGAAATTAGGGTTTAACTTAGCATGGATGCCGATGGGTAACACCTATATGGAGAGGGCAGGGTGTGACAAAGGAGCAGCAAAAGGCAGGGACAGAATGATATAGTTAATCTTTTAATATTCATTTAACGCTAACTGGGTGTGCTAATCATAATTTTTGTTGTTTAAGCACAGCGAAGCAGTAATGCTACAGCTAACTGGGAGGTTATTCTGCTATTGTAGCCTGAGAAGATAGGAGGCTTGGTGCCATAAAGTGTTCCCACCTGTCTAGCTTCAGCCAGGCAGTATAGGCATGGAAGATCTCTATGGTCTGATCTCTATGTCCCAGACATTCAAAATCTGGGAACGGCTGGTGAATGGTGCAGACACCCACACCCACCTTCTCCAGACCACAACAGGGCTTGTGCTTGTTTTGCTCAGGAACCTTGAGAGATTTTGCTGGGAAAGGAGGAGCCGATTGGTTACGGCAGTGTCTACCCCTCTTCTGCCTTCAACTTGGCTCTCTCAGTGCTCAGCTCAAGTTGCTTGGCTTCGGAACCTCAGTCTGTGGTCAGAGAGAGAAAGATGAATTATGGCAGCATGAGCCCTGGGTGAGACCATTAGTAGCTGGTGGCGGGTGGAGTGGAGATACACTGCCCAGCCCAACCCGATCCCTTTCCAGCTGTTTCTGTCTTTTAGGGCTGTTGGGAGGTTTAAGAAATAACAAGAGCCCAGATGGATCCGACTACGGGCTCTTCAACTCCAGCATGCTGTTTGGAACAGCGACCAGCCATATGCTGCTGGGAAGCTTAAAAGTCAGTAAGCCTTCCTCTGTTATCTGTCCCCAGTATCCAACATGCAGAGACACCAGCATCACTCGACAACAAAATGTTGCAGCACGCAGTGCTTCTGGCTCAGGTTTCTAGCCACTTCATTTCATCCACCCCCTCATTTCCCTTCCTCTCCAGTCATTCTGTGCTCAATGTGCAAGCTCCATCCTCACGTGCTGTTTTGGAGTTTGTTTCTTCTTCTTTACTTCTTTGAGGGGGTGGGCACTGGACAGACTTGTGCCCAATCCCAGCTGCATTAATTCTTTACTCAATGGGCAAATCTCCTGGTGAATTGGTTATAGAGTATCACACTTGGACTGGAGAGACCCAGGTCCAAATCCCACTACAGCCATCAACTCACTGGGAGACCTTGGAGCACTCACTATCTCAATCTAACCTACTTTACAGGATTGTTGTGAGAATAAAAAGGAAGGGGGAAAAGAAAGCCATGAACACAGCCTTGGACTTCCTGGAGGAAATGTGGGGCACAAATGTAGTAAGAAACTAAAATTGTTTCTAAATTCCCCATTGAGAACTATGCAAAGTTCTCTCTTTCACTCCTGAGAACCAGGAAATGGCCCGGCTATATAATGAGGCGGATCATTCTACCCTCTCATCCTGTTCCAGCCACTATTTTCAGTAGAGAATCAACAAGGTTGGGATGATTTAAATGAACTGTATTTAAATTATGTTTTCATTTATTTAATCAAGTAGAAAGAGAGTAAATAAAAGAAGTGCTTTATAGGCATGTTAAGCGGTTTTATGGTACAACGGCGGCTTGGCCATATTGTGTCAAACAGACATGCTCAGAATAAATAATTTGTAAGTCAGACCATTGGTCTATCTAGCTCAACACTGTTTATGCTAACTGGCAGCTGTTCTTCAAGATTCCAGAAATGGGTCTTTCCTAGTCCCACCTGGAAATGGAACCCTGAGACCTTCTGCACCCAAAGCAGATACTCTACTACTGAGCTAAGGCCCTAGTGGTAAGAAAGTCTTGTACACTTTCTCAAAACTTTTCAAACGAGAAACCTGAAAACAGTTTTTTATTCTGCCATGCTAGATATAGATTCTGACCAAAGGCCTGAAATAAACTGCAAATCTATTTATAACATAGAGTTGAGATGCTGGTCAATTGACCGCCTATTACTTGACTGCCGTCAAATATTCCATGAAGTCAAGAATGCCTTTGTATAAGCGGCAGATTTCTTTTCTTTTCTTTTTTACTGCATCCCATGGTCCTCTTGAGAGCAATGATACAAGGGCTTCTGTGTACTGGTTACTTGTAAATAAAACCTCTAAGCAGTTTATAATAGCAGCTGCCTGGTGTCATTAATTTTTATTTTTATTTTAAAAAGGTAGACTGTATTGCACTTTTCATCACATCTGAGTCTCAAAGTGGCTCACTATGGGCATGAGGATAATACACTATTTGGAGACAGTACTCTATCAACTATGTAATTCTCTATACTGTTGTTCTACCAAACTGATGTTTTCAGCAACGTCCAACTGAGTCCAATCAGCTGTTCATCTTGCTAGGACCTTGTCTCAAAAAGTGGGCAGTCCCAGGTTCATTAATAGGTGTAGGATGCAAATGCTGCCCATTTTCCAATACTCAATACATTGGGAAGACCTGAAATCTTGCATTTGCACCATTGATCACAACTATATTTTCTGACAGAGCACTCCACGGGTTATCAGTAAGAACACATTATTTTGCTTGAACCAGGAAGTTCCTCAGTTTCACTGAAACCCTATCAGTTAATGTTATGTACATATCAATTCAAGGATATATCTATGCACATGGGCCTATTTTAATATCTTTTTTAAAAGCATCTTAGAAGCTTTCACAACTAACTTTCCAGTCAAAGAAGCCATAGGTGTTTTATCAGGTGTGCGGCATGAAGACAACCAATAAAGTTAGTGGTGAACACTTAATTATTTAAGCTTTCATTAGATTTCAGCAGCACTTTGAATTCCTGGCATATTTAAAACAAAGTATATCATGTAATCCCTTGATGACAGAGGTGGTGGCCAAACAGTAAAATATTTGGCAGCATTCATAATTCCCCATTCTAAACACAGCCTACTCTGAACAGGCAAATTCAATCAGTTAATCCTTATAGAATGTCTTATCTTTCTTGATCAACCATTCAAAAGGCCTCGTGATGAAAAAACAGAGATGCCAGTGTTTCTGCCCACCATGCTACTTAAGCAGTACAGTGGTACCTCGGGTTACATACGCTTCAGGTTACAGACTCCGCTAACCCAGAAATAGTTCTTCAGGTTAAGAACTTTGCTTCAGGATGAGAACAGAAATTGTGCTCCGGCGGTGCAGCAGGAGGCCCCATTAGCTAAAGTGGTGCTTCAGGTTAAGAACAATTTCAGGTTAAGAACGGACCTCCGGAATGAATTAAGTACTTAACCCAAGGTACCACTGTATTTGTAATTGCCAGGTCCTTGGTTACTGAAAATAAGCTTTCCTAGATTGCGCTCAAGGCAGGTTTGGGTGTGTGTGTGTGTGTGTGTGTGTGTGCGCGCCTAAGAAGATTATATGGGATTGAGATCAAGTGTCGATCTCCCACCACTATGAATATTGCAAAAGGCTATCAGTTTTCACCAGACACTGAACAGTCTGTTAGCCCACCCTACTGCTTCAACAAAGCTTGTTGAGGAGATACTCAGCTAGACTCAATGCCCAAGAAGAGACTGGGGTGGGTGGTGGGGGACTCTGGACTGTGGGAAAGTAAAGAAAAAATAGGGGCAAAAACTGAACCAACCAACACCTTCAGCAAACATTGCTGTGCCATTAAAGTAGAGCAGCAAGGCCTCAAGAATTCCCCCTTCCCAGCTGCAACAAAGATTAAATAAGAAATCCTTCCACAATCTCATCTCTCTCTCAGCCTGTTCACACATGCTTAAGGTACACACTTGGGTAAACTTAAGTTTCATGCCAGCAGATGCAACCATAAAGTGTGAATGGGACAAACCAGCAGCTGAAAACATGCATCCAACACACATGATTAGAGACAGCCAGGATTTGCTATGGTTTCTGGTAGAGAGTATGGTCAGAGGCAAAGCCAGGTAATGTATAAAACAGCCATCCCTACTTCTGGAAGTTGGCAGAACTATAGAAGAATTGCATATTGAAACCATGGAAATCAGGATGCCAATTCAGCACATCTTTGCATAATTAGTACAGGATTTCCATATTATACAAATTGTGTCACCTGGAATGTGGTAACTAAAAAGACATTGCACACTGCAATCCAACCTGCAATCATAACCCTCCAATGGTTTGCATGAACAGCAGTAATTTGCGTAGCAATCCATAAATAGTCCCTGGGAAAGTCAAAGCATCGTCTGAATTAGAAGCAAACTACTGCTAAAATTATATGTGGAGACACTCCTATTGTTACTATTACTAAAGTACAGTACAGATGGTGTGCTAGGTGCTGTACAAATTATATTAAGGCAATAAAGTATCTAAATCAAATTAATTTTAATTTTGGACAGGAGTAAAACACCAGTTTATTAGAACTTGCATGTCACCCCATGTTTGTTCCACTCTATATAACCTACTTTTCTGGAGCAAATAAACATATTTCACTAAGTAGATTTATAGCATGCCTTATCCCCAAGGCACTGGGTGGGTACAAATATGTCATCACCTCCTTTATGCTCACAATAACCCTGTGAGGGAGGTCACAATTACTGATATTTTGCAGTTGGAAAACAAATGCAACAGCAACTTGCTCAGGGTCACCAAAATAGACAACTGTTGCAACCTGGCATCAAATCCCAGCTCAGAACTATAACATCACCAGGACATACAGCACCAAGCAATCTGAAGCATATTTACTCAGAATTTCTAAAGATTTCAGTGAGATTTGCTTCCGAGCAATAAATTTTTGGGTTGGTCTTTAATGTCACAAAAAGTTATCTGCAGGCATTCTCTGGTTTGGTATTGCACTCTTGAGTTAGGAACCCTAGTCACATACAATCTATACAGTAGTACCTCGGGTTAATTACTTAATTCGTTCTGGAGGTCCGTTCTTAACCTGAAACTGTTCTTAACCTGAGGTACCACTTTAGCTAATGGGGCGTCCCGCTGCCGCCGCGCGATTTCTGTTCTCATCCTGAAGCAAAGTTCTTAACCCGGGGTACTATTTCTGGGTTAGCGGACTCTGTAACCTGAAGCATCTGTAACCCGAGGTACCACTGTATATTCAACACTAATCCCCATCCTAGCTCACATGGATAATCTAGGTGAGTGGTAAAGCTTCTACAGTGTTACCTCCAGTTGTGGACAGGATCCGTTCCGGATCCTGAGGCTTTCGCCATTGGAGAGACCGCTTCTGCATGCACACACGCGGCAAAAACCCAGAAATATATGTTCAGGTTTGCTGCTTACATATCCTGAAGTTTATGTAACCGGAGGGATACGTAAGTGGAGATACGATTGTACTTGTTTTAAAGACCACAACAGTAACTCTATACCCCAGTATTATGAAGTACCTCTTCTCTAAAGTACTTCCTCTTTTGCACTACCACCCCTCCCAACAGCAATGCTGGGAATTGCCTTTAGTGCTCAACCCCCATAGATTAACTTCAGCTTGACTCCTGACTCGCTGTTCTGGAGATTGTCACTCTCCCCTGCAACTGATTAGCTTACAGTGGCATGTGAACCAGGCCTAATTCTGGGTTCCTGGAACCGTGTGAACATGCCAGCTCCTGCTGAGAAGCCCTTAGCCACCTCCTCCCCAGTCCTCTTTACTACCACGATATGCTGAGTAAAAACAGAGGAGCAAAGCAACCTCTATGGAAGCCACTTGCCAACACGATCCCAATAAACTATAATTTGGCTTACAATGGCATGTGAGTTGTGAATCAAGCCATATTCACACTAGTTGCTAGCACCCCGTTCGTGCATGTGTGATTTCCTCAGATCAGGGAAGAGGAACCTTTCTGGCCACTCCTAAGGGTCAACTCTGACAGGTGGGTGGGACAACCCACGCATCAATCACGTGATGCCTCACCTACCTGGCAAAGTCCACTTGAGCAGTGCTTCCAAGCTCCCGACAACATTGTGAACCACAGAGCAAGGGGGTTCGACAGACCTACGCCCAGCACTTCAGAAGCTCTGAGCACTGGCCTTGCTCAGCAACTCCCAAACGCCTGGCAACCAGCTGGTTGTCAGGAATTTGGGAAGCACTGTGCAAAGTGCTTTGCAAGCCCTGTGGTCAGCACTTCTCAGCTCCCAAGCATACGGCTGACATAGCTGCTTTCTGCAGGGATCAGCTGTGGGATCAAGTTCCCCATGGGAACCTGAACTCACAATGCATCACCCAATGGGAGATGACTTTAACCCTTCTACGTGCAGGGATGGGGCATGGAACTTGTATGTAGAGACAACCCCCAATTTACACAGGGGTTACATTCCAAAGTACCATGTATATTTGAAACACAATTGAAAATGCCAGCAAACACCCCGTTCCGCCCCTTTCTGTGACTCTTTGGGTCACTTTCAGGTTCAGCACGGTCACACACATATCGGACGTGTCTAAAACAGTCGCTCCCTGCAACTGATGCTCACACTAGCTGTTACTGCCCCATTCATACATGTATGATTTTTCTAGATCTTCAGTGCATCCCAAGAAAACTTGACAGCCCAGACTGGACTGATGGCTTAGGGAGTAACAAAGATGCAGAGACTTCAGAAAGCCCAATGTGGCCTGCAGGTTACTTAGTGAGAAGCTGAGAAATGAAACATGAAAAGCAAGCTCTCACTATGCAACTATAAAGTTGGCCAATATGTGCAAACCTACCTTATGTATGTTTACAGAGAAGCCAATCCTACTGAGTTTAATGAGGTTTACTCTTAAGCAAACATACTCAGGGCTTCCAGCCAAGTCTGACAAACAGGACCACCACATCTATACTTCACATCTTAAAGCAGTTTAGAACCAATTTCACAAAAAAGACTTCCGAGAAAGATCCCTGAGGAATTATGGTTTTTGTGAAGGTTCTGGGAATTCTGTGCTAAGAATAGCCTCAACACTTCACAGCACTCCACATCCAAGGAGTCTTCAATCTGGAACCGTGGCATTTATAAACCAGTATGAAAGTGCATTCATACCCCTTTAACAGTCACAGCTTTCCCCAAAGAATCCTGGAAACTGCAGTTTATCCCCACAGGCCTACAATTCCCAGCACCCTTAACAAACCACAGTTCCCATGATTATTTGGGGAATGCCATGTGCTTTAATACATGGTGTGGACGTGACTTAGAAATGCCCACAAAAATAGATGACAATATACCAGGACGGGTTTGATCACATCAAGTAACACCACTATTTATAAAACATATATTGCCTTGGGAGTTTTGAGATCACTTTGTTCCCATTAACTCTGTGATCTGTAGAACAATCCTGCAAATTAACGCAACACTCTATTTCCCAAAGTACAGCTTGGGACAGGGCTATAATAAGGGTGGGCCTTCATAAGACCATCTAGCTAGTATGCAAGACTTTCCCTGGCTCACAGCTTATTTCCACCCTCTTGCAAAACCCATGTTTGGGGACGGAGCAGAACTAATATGAACCACAATACTCTGGAGCAGCCTTTCTCAACTCCCATTATCCTTGACCAGTGGCCATGCTAGCTAGGGATGCTGGGAGTCCAACGACACCTGGGGACACAAGGTTGAGAGTGATGGGGAGAACTCACCCAACAGGAACACCTGGCCCAGAAATGCAACAGTTAAATCCAATGGTATTGCTCTGTGCTTCTCAAATCCATGAAACTTCTCACAGATTAGAAAGCAGGAAGAAACATCAAGTATGATGTATAATATGATCCAAGAGCTTAGATGAGGGGGAGGAGAGGGATAAATAAATGCACGTACCAAACATACACATTTGTTAGCACAAAACACATTTTTATAAGCCTACAGACAGTCAACTTTTTTTTTTAAGTGTGTATTATCCTACCCAGCCCTCCCCCACACCAGTTCTCCAAAAGCCAAACCCTTCTTTGGAAGACAGCAGGGCGGGGGGGGGGGGGGGCGGAGCTGTTCTACAATTTCACTGCATGGCTTGAAAAACAACTTTGATTGGCACTTGGCCTGACCCACAGAGCAAGAAAAAAAGAAAAAGAAAAACAGCTTTGGGACAAAGAGTGCAAATATCTGAGCGCAATGACTTACATGCTTTCTTTATATTTACAAGAAAAAATCCTGGTACAAAGATATAATTAGAAAGAGGCTGCCAAACATACACATACACAGCGCATTTGCCTTAGTTGCTCCAAGCTGATAGATTTGCCCAGCTCAGCAGTTTTAATTCATTTGCGCTGGACAAACAAGAGGCAACTCAGTTAATCAGATGTACAGAGTGGAGGCAAACCAATCAGAATATTCCTGAAGGGTGGCTTGCTGGATAGCTAGTATTGTTAGAAATAGTGGCAGATGTGTCTGGTTTGGCTTGGGGCTCCATAAACCAAGGTTTTGATGTGGTAAACAAGCATTGCAATCAAATGCAGTCAAAGGCCTCCCCTCTCCTTGTACATCACTTTGGAGTTTAGTTTATGGTTTGCATTATTCCGCATTCTGACTGAACCAGGGAAATCTGGTTTAATGTCATTTAACAAGCCAGGACCAGATCCCTTCAACCCACTAGCCATGTGTCCCAACTTTTACGAAGTGTTTTAACCCACCCCCCTCCATATCACTTGCCATTACTGGCAGGGGCAATGCAACACACTTCTTCATAAGGATGTCAGCACACATGGAGAATTGAATTAGCTGTTATTATGGAAGGTGGTGGGAAATTCAACATGCAACTACTGTCTTCAGCAGCAGCCTCATCTTCACTGCAACACCTAATTCCACTTTCAGGTACAGTCTTAAGAAAATAAAAAAACATGTTTTCTAGATGTTGCTGGCTCTTTCACTTAAAACTAAATGGCCTAAGCCTAAAACTAGTTCAGGGAATGCTTTTCCCCATATTGACCCCTTCTCATTCTTCAGTCACTTTGGTCTTGTTCCAGGAAACACTTCCATCTGAAGTAAGGCCAGTATCCACTGGCAGCAGGGCCTTCTAAAGTATGGCACATTTCTTCTCAGAAGAGCTTTCCTATGAGGAAAGGTCTTCATCTGCCTTCTGAAAACCATTTAAATTATTTTATTATTTAATGACAAAAAGACTAGCATTATTAACGCTCCTGCTAAGATTCCAGCATTTATATTAAACTCTTTTTTCATCTTTTTATGAATTTTATATGCATTTAGGGTCAATTCAAATCTTCCTCAGGGGTAGAAAGCATGATAAAAATGTAATAAAATAAACTGTGTAATGAAATAAACTGTGACAAGAGATGCACGGATAACTTTGCCACAAGAGGGTAAGGAAAAGTAGCTGTGCGTGACCTTCACCCAAATCATTAGTCAACCTCCATTCCCCCCCCCCCATCAAAATAAGGAAACTAACTTAATTTGCCTGATTGCATTGGCTTTGAAGGTTTTCAAATACTTTTTTCCCCTTTTAGGCAAAGGAGCATGTTGTTGACTACTCATACAGTGGTAACGAAGACTGCAGAAGCAAGGCACGTAGGAAAAGGGAGGAGGCATCATTCAGTTTGGATACACACAGAAAAGCGGGAGGGGGAGTAACAGGTAGCCAACTGGCCTCTATTCAATTCTTGGCTTATTTTCCAAACACAGTCAGCTTATTTTTAACCTCTTATTCACAGCCATGAGGGCTAGGAACCACACCTCAAGAAAGAGAGGAATGATATTATCAGGATGCTAACTGTACCACTGATTCAGAGGCGGTCCTATGTTAACAGAACCCCTTCCCTAGGCATATTCATATGGCCCCTATGTTGATGGCTTGTAAAACAGCCTGAAGACTTTTTTGTTGCAAAATGCTTTCACTTGCTATTTTAGCTGTTTTGTATTTCACAGCTGTTGTTCTTTTAAAACTCTTTATGCTGTGCCACTTGTTTTTTTATACTGTTTATTGCTGTTGCTATAATATTTTTAGTTGTTTTAGTGTTTTACGGATTGTGTGGTTTCACAGTTTATAATCACATTATGAATTTTATGCTTTTAATATGTTGTAGGAAGCTTGGGGAAGGGTTTAACACCTGAATGGCAGCCTATAATAAATATTGATCTTTTTAAACAGAATGTACATGACACAGAGATCAAGTATCAGAGAGGTGTTGTCATAGGAATTTACTTACCCACATCTCAATAAATCAGAAATCACCTCAACAGTACAAAATAGTTAAACTATTCCTTAAAAAAGGGATCCAAGGATGAAAATATACTCATTCATCACCCCAAACACACAACTTCCCAGGTAAAGTAGGAGTTCACTCTAGAAATATTACTTTCTACAACATCCTTATACAGGCAAAAACAGCCATGTTTATATTACTTATTACATCTGAACAGCATCCATACACCATTTTTTTAAAAACTGCATTTTAAGGAATTCATACTAGGAATCAAGATTCTCACTAACAAGGGAGCCTTCCTACAGACAATGATTCATGATTCTAGCATCAGATTATGTGACCAGCAGGATTTGGTCCTCTTTTGAGCACATTATTACATAATTTTAAAACTGCAAAGAATTGGGGTATTGTATCTTTCACATACCACTTTTTTCCATCATCCAGTAACCCTTAGTGCATCAATTAATCTGCTGAATAATATCCATGTCAAAATCTCCACACATCACTTGGTATTCTGGGACCTTACATGAAATGTATGGAATCCTGACCAAGCCGCCTTAATAAAAAAAGTCATCACAATAATTTGTCAGCATTTTATTGTACGTTTCTCCTAATATATACATTTCTGCTTGTAATTTTGTTCCCTAATACACCCCAACATATTTTATGTTATTTTCACCAATATATACATTTTATGCACATGCTTTTGTGCACATTATCTGATTGGAAAACTGAATTGCAAAATTCAGAAAAGTGCACATTTTGAAGGATAGCTTCATTTGGATTCACATTTGGGAGGGGTGTGGGAAGTACAAATAAGGAAGTTTTGCATTAAAATGCAAACAGAATTTCTCCCCTATCCCTTGCTGGGTGCCACTTGGCCAGTATAAATGCACACTGTGCCACAGTACAGTCCTCCCTCCATAAAGGGAAGAGACATAGACACTGAGGTGAAGGAACTGCAAAGTTCTAGGCAGGGAGCTAATCTTGCAGCAAGTAGGGCCAAAGATGCTTCACACCCAGCAACAGAGGATTAGCTTGCAGCCCTCAAATTGCTAAGTATGGCAGCTGCAGAGAAGCAGGCAGCACATGGGAGCTTCTAGTCAAAGGTGTTCTTCCCACTCCTGTTTTGTACCCTGGCTGGCTGGATTCACAAGGAAGCTTGAAATGCCCTCTTCTAATGCCAGGGTTGGAGTACTGCTCCGGTCTACTGCATGCATGTAGCTGTGTGCAAGGAGCCCCCATTCATTCACTTACCAAAGAGATGCCTACTGGTAGAAGGCAGGAGGAAGAGAGCAGTTAGAAGGGGAATCCCATGTTTGAAAAACCCTGCCAGTAAAACATACCCAGCACTCAACAGAAGATGTGGGCAAGATATCTTCTAGAGAATTTTGCTTGGCATTACTGTAGTAATTTTACTGAGGAACCCCCAATAAGCTTCCAAGAAAGCCAGATTTTCTGAGTACACACACAGACATGATGTTCATATACAGAAAGGGGAGGGGGATCTAATAATAAGAGATTTGTCATGGAGACAAAATCTAAAATCAGACACACAATACAGATATAGCTGCTACAGAAAGTGTAAGCATAAAAAAGAGCAGGGAGATTACATAGAGTTGGGAGGCATTTATTTTGACATACTCTACATATACAGAGAGAATACAGTTCAAAAGATAAAAGTTTCCTTCCCCTTCTCTTTCTTCACCCTCATAGCAGACCCACACACTGAAGTCAAGGTTATGAAGAGGGCAGTGCTCCTTGCAAAAATGTGTGTCAGATGTGGGTGGAGATAAGGAAGATGAGATGTAGTCCATCTCTCTTTCTCTCTCTCCTGCAGCATGTCTTCAATAAGATATTATATGCAGAACTGAGGCTTAGTTGCAGAGGCAAAACCAACAGGAATCAATATCAATACAAAAGGGAGAAATAGTTAGAAGGTAGGAGGTTTCTGCTTCAATCATACATTAAGGCTGGAGGGTATTCTCTGCATTCTAGTCTGACAACACTGAAACCAATGAAAACCCTGGTTTGCTTAGTGACATCATTGGTATTGGCTGCAATCTTACAGGATGAAGCATATTCAGTGTCTGTCTGATATATGTGTCTAGTTACAATCTATCCCCCAACCCCCCAAAAAGGGTTCTAGTCTGGCTCAATGATTACTTGGGGCAAAGATCCTATTTCCATGGTAAGGGGGGGGGGAGACTATGATAGCTAAGTTTTACACCCAGCAGACCCACTGAAAAAACGAGCATGACTAAGTTAGGTCATTTAATTGCAAGATCCCCCCCTCACTTTTTTTTAACTAGAAGGGACAGAGCTGTCATAAATAAAGAGGGGAGCAATTTGAGTTAGACTGTCAAGTCTACGGCACAAATAAAATTTATATTTATTCTGCAAACTATCCCATAGGCTTTGCGCTGATAACAATATCCAGGAGGATAAACCACTCAGTCAGTCTGACCTTACCATCAACTATACCACCATTATCCACTCCTTCAATTTACTCCAGTCCTCAGTCAACATCATAAGCTTAGGCATTAAATATTTTGATGGGCAGTAATGCAAGGAGAAATCATCTCAATAGTCACGCATCAGTTTTGCAGCCTCCCACAAAGTTACACCACAGCCAAAACCTGAATTTGTTCTAGAAGTAAAACAAGACCTCTCAATTAAGATTAAGCAAAAAGCAGGAGAGAAACTAGAAACACATGAGAACACCTACATATAAATATTTGTCTTTAAAGTACATGCATGCTACACTTGATATTAAAGTGGGATTTTTTTGAGCATCTTCTGGGTGGCAGGAGGAAGCTCAACCTGGAGCTATGAAAAGGGAGGGGGTGTAGGAAGCTGCCTTTTGCTGAGTCAGACCGTCAGATCCATCTAGCTCAGTTTTGTCAACACTGACCAGTAGCGGCTCCCTAGAATTCCAGACATGAGTCTCTCCTAACCGTACCTGCAGACACCTGGGATTGAACCTGGGACAAGTAGATGCTCTACCACTGAGCTTCAGCCACATTCTAGCTTCCTCTCGCCTTTGGAAAGAGGGTGCACAAATCAAATATAGGATTTAAGACAGTGTTTGTTCTTATTCTTTTGAAGGTCTTGAGACTTCAGGGACAAGACATATTTTAAAAATTCCAATGGATAAGTGAAGTAGTGATACAGAAGGCAAAGGTACAGCAAAATAAGAATTTCATACAGACACATACCACATCAAGTACAGAGAGCACAACCCTGCCAAAGTCAAGCCCCTTTAACTGATTTCACTAGACAATGAAACCCTGGGAAGGATATCCCAGGGGCCATAGGAATCATTGCAGCACCCTTTATAAGGACAGAAAGAAAACTCCTCAACCTTGGAGAGGGAGATCCAGTGTTGGATCCCACCTCGCCATTGCTATGGAACCTTCCACAGCCCTTCCTCTATTGTTGTCAGAACTGATCTCAGCAGAGCAAAAAAAGGGGGTGGGCATGCCAAGGGTGTGCTTGGATCCAAAAGATCCAACGCCTTCCCATTCCCCTGGCACACCTCCAAACCAGGAGCACACATACAACAGTGAATTTCATTCCCTTTATTTCCCATGGGAGGTGAATGGTTTTGGGGGATGTAGAAAAAACAGAAAAGGACAAAGGTGAGCAAGAGCCGTCCTCTGTTCTCAGGGCACTGGAGAACCCAGGAGGTAGATGAACTGCCTTCAGTTCCCTTCCTTTCAGCCCTGCCCACCCAGGATCACACTGTTTAAAGGTGATTATCTTTACCATACTGTTTAAAGGTACTTGTTTTAACAGGATCACACAGAGAAAGAAAAGTATACACTTATTACAGTAAGTGTCAGACTTAGTGAATGTTAGCATTTACTAGCAATTCTTAAGATTTTTGGAGGACTGCCCACAGTAAATGTCAGAAATGTGCAAGTCATTAACCTGAGTTTTTAGCATTAGCACATCATTTACTTCTAAGCAATGGAAATATATAGGCATATTATAACCTAATTAAGGCAATTAGGTTAGCTCTGAGATTTACTGGTAAATATTTTCTGACATATCCCACTGAACCTTCTTTTTCTTCAGTACAATGATTACAAACAGAAGACAACATTCCCCAGGGCTGGAATTCTATACTTTCTTATCTGGAAAGTAAGGCCTACTGATCTCAGTGAAGCTTTATTTTCAAGTAAACATGCAAATTTGTATTTGTTATACTTAGAGGAGACCCATTAAAAACTCAATGGGCAATTGTATAAATCAGATGTCACCCATATTCTATACACAAACACAAAGACACACACCCTATTGCACTATATTCATTTAGATGGTATGTGAAAACAATCCACCACCAAACCACCCCTTTTTCTTTTATTGACAACATGATCGGCTATTTTTTGATGTTGCCAGGCTGTATACAATTTTATCAATTGCTATTATTATTATTATTATTATTATGCTTTTGTTTAAGTGGTTCAGTACCAACTGTAACCACACTGAGCACCTTTCAAGAACAAGTCACACTAAAAGCACATGAACAAATAATAAATTATGCATACATTGTATTAAAATGATAATATGCATATTTTATGCAATTTTAATATACAATATATACATACAATATGTACAGTATTATCCTACTTTACTATGCAATTATAAACAACCTTACATTATAAACAAAAGAACACAGTTTTAAAACTTTTTAAAACAACCAAATAGCCTTAATATAACTAGCACTTAAAAGCAGCCAGCCCAATACACTTTGTAATATAAAAATAATGGGCTGGCTCCAGACTAATTTAGCCACGCTTTACCCTCATTAAAAATGATTGGATTTTTCTTAGTCGTAATTAACAGCACAAGCCCAACCACATCACATCTACTTAGAAGTAAGTCCTATTGAGCTCAACAGGGCTTAGTCCCAAGTAAATGTGGTGACAGGACTGTCAGTTGTCCCATGGACTGCAATGGGGCTACTGCATGGCTAACTTAAGGCTGCAGTCCCAACCCCACTTACCTGTGAGCAAGCCCCACTGGGACCAGCACAACTTACTTGTGAGCAAAAAAACGGTTAGGATTGCAGTTAAGTCTACATCCAGCTGGATATGGTTCTTATTATTTTTACACAGCTGTACTATGCAAATCATACCTATTTTATACAACTTTACTACTGGATAGGAAAACACACAAACTGCAATCTTGATATATACATATGTATTTTAGAGATAGGGTTGTATCCAAATTAAGTCCTGCTCAGAGCAGACCCGCCGAAATTAATGGGCATGGCTAACCTGGATACATTCCTTTCTGAGGGTCCTAGAAGTTAGTTGCAGACAACACCAGCTGTCCAAGTTCTATCTACTCACAAGTAGAGCCACTGAAGCCAAGGGATCCAAGTCAGCCTTGCCCATGGGACTTCAGTGGGTCTACTCTGAGGAGGGCTATTGCGTTGTATCCCAGCTAAGTCCTCCTCAGAGCAGACCCACTGAAATTAATGGACATTGCTAATCTGGATACAGTACATTCATTTCTGAGGGTCCTAGAAGTTAGTTGCAGGCAACCCCTCGCTGTCCAAGTTCTACTCACAAGTAGAGCCACTGAAACCAGGTGACCCATGTCAGCCATGCCCATGAGCCTTCAGTAGGTCTACTCTGAGGAGGGCTACAGTTTTGTATTCCAGTTAACTGCTCCCCAGAGCAGACCCACCGAAACCAGCAGACCTAAGTCAGCCATGCCCATGGGACTTCAGTGGGTCTACTCTTGAGGAGAACACGAGCTACCAACGTACCTCACAGGCACACTAGATTTCACACTTACACACATATAACGCCTCATTATAATATATGCTTTAGGATAACCCTGACTGACTGACACACGTACACAAGCAGCCCTACGCGAAGGTGAAAGAGCCACCCCCCCCACCACTTCAGCGGGGCGCGCGCCTCCCCCCCCCTTATAAGAGTTGGCCGAGGGGGCGTGGCCCGAGCGCAGCAGCCCAACGGTCTACAATCGGGAGAGGCGAGCAGCATCTCCGAGCGCCTTCGGGCAGAAGTCGCCTCCTCCGATCGGGCTCCCCCCCCCCCCAACCGCCCGATCCCCGCGCGCGCTGCTCCCCAACGTTCCACAGCACCGCGCGCACGCGCGGAGGGGTGTATGTGTGTTTGTGTGAGGAACGTGACGGGGGTCGACGTACACCCACCTGCCTCAGCACTTTCCGGCAGTTGCTACAGACCCTCCGGCACTCTCCGTGGCCGCTGCCGCCGGGGACGGACGAAGGGCACGAAGCGGCGCCCCTGTTCATGGTTGCCGGAGCCAGCGGGGGCAGAGGGAGGCGACTGGCTGCAGCGGCTGCCTGCGCTCAGCGCTCAGCGCCTCCGGCCGCCGCCCCCATCCGCCGCTCCCCTCCTCCTCCTCCTCTTTCCCCCTCCCGCCCCCCTGGAAGCGCTTCGGCTTCAGCCGCTCAGGAACAGCCGCTGCCATCCCCGCCCCGCCCACCAACCGCGGCTCTCCCTCGCGCGCACACCCCTCGGCCGCCGCCAATCGCCGCGCCTCGGCCACGCCTACCCGCAACCCCCGCCTGGCCAATCGCAGGCGCCGGCCACAGCCAGCCAATCGGCCGAGCGTTCTCCCGCTCCCCATCTCCGGGCAGTCTCCGAGTTGGAGGAGGGGCCGTCCCGCAAACGGGGCGGAGAGAAGAAGGGAGCTCCTCGGCAACCTATAAGGGGGCGGAGGAGGTGGGGCCAGGTGGCGTGAGGCGGGGCTTCCCTCGGCCAATGGGACGCGGGCCATGTCCATGGGCTGGACGTGGGGGAAACGCACCCACGAGGTGGTCACGCCCCCGTCTCTCAGTGCTTACTGCTGCTGCTGCTATGGAAGGCGCAGGAAAGGGAGGCAGAATGATAGAATGGTGGAGTTGGAAGGGACACCGAGGGTCATCTAGTCCAACCCCCTGCAATGCCGGAATATTTTTGCCCAATGTGGGGCCGGGACCCAGGATCCCCAAAAATATTAATCTATTAACTGGTTTTGCTTTTACATTTACATTTTTTCTTCTGCAAACACCCTCCACAAACCAGCCAGTATTTAAAAACACATAACTTCCTCTTGCTTTGCACTCTTCCCACCTTAGATCAAATCGATGCTGTCAGGTGCCATAAGAAAGCTGCAGAGATAGTGCAGGATAGTGCGCACCCCAGAAATGATCTCTTTCAGCTTCTGCCTTCTGGAAGAAGGTATAGGGTTATAAAGACCAGGACTAGCCGCCTGAGAAACAGTTTCTACGCAAATGCAATTCTGGTTCTAAACGCAGCATAAGGAGTCTCTATAGCATATTGTATTTTAAAATGGGGTTTCAGAGTTTTTAGGGGTTTTTGAATGTCTTATGTAGATTTTTCAATTTCATTGTTCTATATGGGACAATAACAATAAAGATATCGTATTGTCTTGTATATGCTGTATAAGACGCTGGCCCTGAACAGTCAACAGTGCACAACCTTATATATGCCTACTGAACCTGACCCTGCGATCATCGTCTGTGGCCCTTCTCTGTGTGCCCACGCCACAAGAGGTCCAGAGGGTGGCAACACAAGAATGGGCCTTTTCTGCGGCGGCTCCTGTTTGTGGTATGCTCCCCTTGGGGAGGCTTGCCTGGCGCAAATACTTTTCTCTATAACCAGCAGTGGCGTAGCGTGGGTTGTCAGCACCCGGGGCGAGGCAAGTAATTTGCGCCCCCTAACCCGTGGATTTGCGCCCCCTAACCCTAACCCCCAGAAGTTGCGCCCAGTGCGGCCGGCCCCCCCTGCACCCCCCACGCTACGCCACTGATAACCAGGTCGGCCTTTAGCTATATGTGACCTTTTAGAAGTGGGTGGGATTTTTTAAATGCATTATTTTCCCCCTTGGTTTTAAGGTAGCTATGTGGGGTTTTTCGTTTGTTTATTTTGGGTTGCCCTGCTCAAGAGAAAGCAATTAACACATAATAATAATAATACTGTTTGGATGTGTTTGACTGAGTGCGGTGGGTAAGTGAATGTAGGACTGCAGCCCCACTGAAACACGGAAACCTACGAGTGAGTACACACATAGGATTCCATTGTTACTGCTTTATTGTGGATTTAAATCAGTTGGCCTGTTGTTTTTAATTATCTGCTTTTCATTACCCCTAGAACAGCAATGAACATAAAAACAGCGTGCTGGATCAGGTCCATCCAGCCCAGCATTCTGTTCTTGCAGTAGCCACCCAGATGCCCGTGGAAATGCTGGAGGTTGGGCTGGAAAATGGTTTTAAGTAACTAAATAAAATAGGGTGTTTTCAAAATTTCAGATCCAATTCAAATGTGGGAGCTTAAGCAAAAGGGCATTTTCACAGATGATGTTCCAGGGTTTAGTCACTCCCCTCACCCCCCCTCCACAGCTGTAAGGAAAGCATCAAGTCTAGGAAGAATTTGATACATGTATGGTTTTGAAATGCTCATCTTCTTCATTCCATCTTAATTTAAAACTGCGTTCACACCTTTGCACACATGGCCTGCAGATAGCTCTGAAGTACTTTTTTTCATGTCTCACGTAAAAATGTCAGGAACAATGTGGGACTGGAGAGCCAGTGCTGCCACCATATCTGCCGTCTGCAATGCAGGTTAGCAAGCGATGAGTAAAAGCTCAACACAAGGACCCACCTTTGGCATTGGAAGCAGATGGGATGAGGCTGGCCTCCACCAGACGGCTCCTAAAAACTTTTCTTTTTTTTTACGGCGACAGGCCTTTGCAACTCTTTAAACTGGTCAGCCAGACACGCTGACGATCGCTTGTTTGAACGGTGTTTTGCTTTTGTACAGTGCCATGATACGTTATGATATGGAGGTACAGAAATATTTTTTTAATTGATTGACATTACTGCTCTTTATTATATCTGTATACCGCCCTTCATCCAAAGACCCCACACAATAAAACAAAAACCAAACCAATAACCTCCCTGACTTTCAATGGGTTTACTCTGAGTATAACTAAAACTGGACACAACCTAGGCTACCAGGATGCTGTTGGTTCCTCTCACCTCCCCATAGCACATGACAGCATCAACATTATCATGTGCAATGGATAATTAGTAATGCAGTCACTGGTATTATTATTCGCAGGGGACCAGAACTGGAGGCAATTTGGCTGTGTGTGTGGTGAGGATTTCCCCCTTCACCTCTCCACGACACCCCAAGTCTCCTTGAGATTTATTAATAATGTAATAATGAATAATATTTATTAATAATTAGTCACTTATTACTAGTAACAAACCAAATTTCTGGTATTTGCGAGGTGAGGGGGTCATGCCTTGCTTCCATTGGTTGAGAAATTTTGTCGTCTGCTAACAGCTGTAGCACAACCCTTCTAGGGCTTAAGTAGTCTACCTAGCAGGCTCTATAGTAGCTCATAGAATCAGGCAATCTTATGTTTCATCTTCCTATTCAAGGCTCTGTCATCAACGCCACATCCAGCTGCAAAAGGCCAGTTACCTTGCAAGGTGGAAGGAAAATAAGTTGTACACACATCTGCAAAACACGGTGCTGACTGTCGCTGGGGTGCTCCTCCAGGAGGACAGCCGTTGCCCCCAGCAAAAAAATGATAACAATTAATTAATAGCCCCAGCGATGGGATAGTTTGCTTGCACATGTAGAAACAAGACAGCTGTGCTGCAAGGCAGGACAAGATTAGATATTTGCTCAAGGGGAAGTTGGGACTGTTTGGAGAGTGCGCAGCGAAGTCTGTTTGCCTCGGGTCGCGAGGATGGTGAAAAAACGATGAGTCAGGGCTACTTGTCTCTGTGCTAATGCACAGCTAGACAGAGCATATAATTAGGACGAAGGCAGAGCTCAAGTCCACAGAGCCAGGCGGAGGCAATTTTTTATGTTCTGCAGTACAAGGATGGCCAACAAGGTGCCCTCCCAATGTTGTTGGGCTTCAGCTCCCACCAGCTCCAACTAGCAATGGGAGGAACAATGGGAAGTGTAATTCATCGGCATTTGCTTGCAAGTATGTTGGCTATCCACAGAGCCAATTCAGTGCCCCTCATCAGTGGACTAGACCAGGCATACCTAACCTAAGGCCCGGGGGCCGGATGTGGCCCAATCACCTTCTCAATCCGGCCCATGGACTGTCCGGGAATCAGTGTGTTTTTACATGAGTAGAATGTGTGCTTTTATTTCAAATGCATCTCTGGGTTATTTGTGGGGCATAGGAATTTGTTCATTGTTTTCCCCCCCAAAATATAGTCCGGCCCACCACATGGTCTGAGGGACGGTGGACCGGCCCCCTGCTGTAAAAGGTTGCTGACCCCTGGACTAGACTATATAGAAGCTATCATGTCAGAACCTCCAAGTGAGTATCCCTCTTTTCAAGGGACAGTCTCTGATTTACAGAAGCCATCCCAGTTTCTGATTCGATCCCAGAATGTCCCGCTTTTCCTTAAGATGTTCCTATTTTCATAAGAAAAAATGTTGGAGGGTATGGAGTTATGTGACCCTTGAGGCAAGGTGATAAGTAACTATCCAACCTTTAGAGGACATGTGAAAGCAGCCCTGTATAGGGAAAGGTTGTTGTTTTTAATGTTTGGTGTTTTATTATGTTTTAATATACAGTGGTACCTCCGGTTACGAACAGGATCCGTTCTGGAGGCCCGGCCATATCCCAAAATCTTCGTAACTGACCCTTCTGTGCACGCGCATGGCATGATTGAGCACTTCTGCGCATGTGTGAGCGGCAAAACCCAGAAGTATATACAGTGGTGCCCCGCAAGACGAATGCCTCGCAAGACGGAAAACTCGCTAGACGAAAGAGTTTTCCGTTTTGGAGGTGCCTCGCAAAACGAATCTGCTATGGGCTTGCTTCGCAAGACGAAAATGTCTTGCGAGTTCCTGGGGTTTTTTTCCTTTCCCCCTCTTTTCTAAGTCGCTAAGCCGCTTATCTGTTTATCCGATAAGCTGATAGGCTGCTAAAAGCCGCTAAAAGCCGCTGAAAGCCGCTAATAGCGCTAATAGCGCTAATCCGCTAATCCCATCAATGGGCTTGCTTCGCAAGACGAAAAAACCGCTAGACGAAGAGACTCCCAGAACGGATTCTTTTCGTCTTGCGAGGCACCACTGTACTTCTGGGTTTGCCACGTTCGCAACCCGAAAGTTACGTTACTCAAAGGTAACGTAACCCGAGGGTCCACTGTATGTTGGAAGCTCTGCTCTCCTTTCTTAGGGTTAATATAAATCTTTAAACTGGACATGGGAGTGGATAGCCCTTCAAACAGAGGAGTCCTCGAAACTG